TTGGTCAAGAGAGATGTTGCAGAGGCGAGTGGTGCTGACAACTAATGATAATATTCGGGTGGGATTCGAATCCACGATCAGAGGATCCTGAGAGGCTAAGGGAGGTAACTCTGCAAAGCGCGTTCTAGCGCCAATGACTACTGAGCCATCGCGCTTCCCTTAACAGATTTAGAACTTGGCCTATTTAAAACAATCACACTGTTCCTCATGGCATGGGGTTTGTTTGTTTGTTTGTTTGTTTGTTTTACTTTAACTCATGGATGCCGTGGATTCCAACAGTGATAGAGGACTGACAAGTATATTCGTTAAACAGAACCAAACAAAAATGTGGTTTAACGTCGAGTTCCAAGAGTATTGCACTTCTATAGCGACGTGCATGCACCTGTATATTTGTATGGCTACTTGTACTCCTCCGGACTAATGGGTATTATAGTGCTAACCCATTCAGATACTTTGCCGCAGTTTAACATGAATACCCCACTAACACACAGTATTCTGACTCCGAACCGACCTGTCCTTGTTTTATCTCCTTAATGCCGAGCGCCAGGCAGGGAAACAACAAGCACCATATTTTAACGTCTTTTGGATTGATCGCACCACGGACCATCTGCTCTCCGGGTTTATATCAAGAAAGCCGCCTCCGTGATCTAGTGGTAGAACGTCCGCCAGGAGAGCGGAAGGTCCGGGGTTCGATCCCCTGCCGCGTCATACCAAAAGTCGTTAAAAGATGGTACCTGTTGTTACCCTGTTATACAGACAGACAGTTTATTCAGTATGTAAAGGCATATGGCCCATAGTACAGCTCAAGTTTAACGGATACATGAAATTCAACGTGATCTTGAACAAAGTATAATATAAACTGACGTCCAAAAGAAACTTTGCCAACTGAAAATATTAAATTTCAGACAAAGCATAATTTTTTTTTTTCGATGAAGTCTATCTAAAACACATAACCTAAATACAACAATAGTGTATGCAGAAAATGTTAATCGTCTGTTACATGTTTACGAGATAACACGCGAAAAAGTGAAAAACTCGTGCACCACGGACAACTGCAAATGCACGCGCGGGTAAGGGTATAAAACGATTGCAACGGCAAGTCAGAGATCCACAGTGATAAATAAACACAAAAGAAATGCCACGACTCACAGTCGAACAACGTGAACGAGCCTTGGGTATGGTACAGATGGGAGCCAATCTCATTAAAATCAGATCTTAGTTCTCGCTACCGCTAAACAAAGCTTTGTTTAGCGGTAGCGAGAACTAAGATCTGATTTTAATGAGATGGGATGGGAGCCACCCACGCCTATGTTGCACGAACCTTCGGTTGCTCCCGTGTTGCCGTTACCAACTTGATGCAACGTTACAGACAGACAGGGCAGACCGCTGACAGGCCAAGAACAGGCAGACCCAGGGTGACCACGCCCCATGATGACCGGTACCTGCGTACCTTGCACCTCCGAAATCGCTTCCTGACAGTGACGTCATCGGCGACAAATTCCTTAGGTCAAAGGGTTAGTCGACAGACAGTGGCCAGGAGACTCAGGGCTCATGGAATCAGGGCTTTTAGACCATACAGAGGACAGCTATTGACAGCGCAACAACGTCGTCTGCGATTGAGATTGGCCCGGACTGTACGACGTTGGCAACCACGTGACTGGCAGAGGGTTGTCTTCAATGACGAAAGTCGATTCTGTATGTTTAGGGCTGATGGAAGACAACGTGTTTACCGCCGAAGGGGTGAACGAACGGCGGCGTGTTGCGTGCAGGAGGTCGTACCATATGGTGGAGGGAGTGTCATGGTGTGGGGAGGGATCTGTGGGCAGGAGAGGACACCGCTGGTCATCGTTGACGGAAACTTGACAGCTCAGCGTTACATGGATAACATTCTTCGTCCAGTTGTCCTACCATTTCTCCAACAGCAGCCACGTGGTGTCATTTATCAGCATGACAACGCTAGAGCCCATACAGCCAGAATTGTCACTAACTTCCTCGCAGCCAAAAACGTCAACGTCCTGCCGTGGCCTGCACGCTCACCCGACATGTCCCCCATAGAACACCTCTGGGACTTGATGGATCGTCGTGTTCGACAACGACCACACTCTCCAGCCAACCGGCAAGAACTGATCTTGGCCCTCCAAGAAGAATGGCGTCAAATCCCACGTGACCTCATCAGACGACTGACTTTTTCTGTGCGCCGAAGAGTTTTTGCGTGTATTGAGGCATTTGGTGGTCACACACGCTACTAATGACTTGTTATTGAACGTGAGCGATTGTTTATGTACTCTGCCTATTGTCCATGATTCTGAAAGCTCGAGGTTTGTACCACACCCAACTTTGGGGGGCTCTGACGTCATTCTCGGTCGCGGTATGATTGTCATTTTCAGTGTTGATTATGTTGATATATTGATCTTCTCCATACACTTTACTTCATGCATGTATGTTTTGTTGTTTTTTAGCAAGAGTGATTTCAAACTCAGGTAAAGTTTCTTTTGGACGTCAGTTTATATTCACCTTAGTCCAAATGCATGTTTTAAATACATTGCTAAAGATTTGATAGCACCTTCATTGTTGGAATTCCACAAATTGATCATTAATTGATTGTCTTTGTGTTAAATATTTGAATTAGATAGAAACATGGATCTCAACGTTTTATATTTTTCACATATAAAAAGAACATGAAACTCGTCTTCAATCTCCTGGTTGGTTCAGTTAGTACATATACAATTTATAAAATCACTATCCTTGGTTCTACATTTATTAACATGTAAGTTATACATTCATCTTCTTGGCTGAAAGTATAAATATTCCTTTACTATTATTTGCTATACACTCCTCATGCAGGCTTACAAAATACATATTCCTTTGCTCTTACCCGTTATGTTGGTTGGTTGGTTGGTTTGTTGTTTAACGCCGCACTCGGCAATATTCCAGCTATATGACGGCGGTCTGTAAATAATCGAGTCTGGACCAGACAATCCAGTGATTGATTTCATGAGCATCGATCCACGCAATTGGGATCGATGACATGATTGTATCAACCAAGTCAGCGAGCCTGACCACCCGATCCCGTTAGTCGCCTTTTACGACAAGCATAGTCACCTTTTACGGCAAGCATGGGTTGCTGAAGACCTATTCTACCCCGGAATCTTCACGGGTATCTTACCCGTTATGTACACGCGTTATCTAGGCTGACAGGCTGAAAGCAGGGAATCCATGCTGAAAGTATAAATAGTCGTTGACTATTATTTGTTATACACTGACAGATAGCTATGCTATGTTATCTGTCCCACCCCTCGTACAGGCTTAAAGAGTACATATTCCTTCACTATCATTCGTTATAAATATTCATCTGATCTACCTTCAATTGCTGGTGGGGCGGTCGGGCAGCCTAGCGGTTTAAGCGTTCGCTCGACACGCTCGATTCCCGACATGGGTACAATGTGTGAAGCGCCGTAATATTGTTGGAATATTGCTAAAAGAGGCGTAAAGCCTTACTCACTCACTCATTCAATTGCTGGCGATCTTTAGCCCATTTTTATAATGTATTGTTATGAATAGAGCTATCCATTTTATGATTCAATACTAGTTTTAAAACTTTCTGTGATACGTCTTGTTATTTTACTGTCCTTCGTTGGCAGGATTTTATATCAGTCTCAATGTATTTATTATGTTTATCCCTTGATAGTCACGATATGGCTGAAATATTGCCGATGTGCCTTAAAATTGTAACTCACTCACTCTCTCACTGTATATTCATCATCAAGACTGAAGGTAAAAATATTCTGTTATGCAAAATCGTTATGCACAATGTGCCACAGAATACTTGGCTCTCCTTTGCGTTTCACCTGTATTACTCGTCTGTTCATGACATTTTGACATGATTTGACATATAGGGCTGCTTGGACATTCCGACCCCCTATTACAGACTTAACTGAAGTAATATCATTCATCATTGTCAAATTGTTCTCCTATAAATATATATATGTATATTGTTGAAATATATTATATTTTATCCATCTCTCTTTCTCAACTGTAAGTTTACCTGTGGCGAGAATGTCCGTTATGTATAAGAATAGAAACTGTCGAACCACGAAAGATATTTACTGACGTAGGTTGGAGAGATAATTCACTTCTCTCACGCCAGAGTGCCGAGAGGCGAAACGGGTCGACCGTAACTCGAATACTACTTTCCACCAACTAATAACTCATGCATAGAAACAAATAATAAATAATCGTTGAATGTCCGAAGAATTATGATGAAAGAATTATCAATACCTAAACAAATGAGTTTGATTATCACCAAATAATATAACACCCACGAGAAGACAAAGACGTTTAATGGCTTTCTTATCAGCAGCCTATCACGTATTTCATTTATTTTGTATGATAAATATAACAAATTTGAGTGTATTCATTTGTGGGACGTTAACTGCAAGGCACGCGTTGGTTGATTCTTGTAGTAATCCAATACGGTTCACATCGAACATTAATATTAATACATTTATTCAAATATGTCATTTAGAATCAGCGTTTGGTTTGAAATGAAAATAATAGTATATACACTGAAGCGCTCTTACAATATTTGCATCACTCGCATCTTTCTGCGACCAACACAAGGGGATGTCAACACTGCAGGTAATTCGTCCGTCTCGTTATCAGGGACAACAACCCACACAGTGTAAATATAAACACGATTACACTGAATTAGAAACAGTATGATAAAGAACATATAGATAAAGAACATACCCAATAACTGATAAAGAAAACAGACACTAGATATCGATCTGAACAGAAGAAATTACAGGGACATTCTGTCGGTGATCATTTCATTTATGACTCTCAAATATAACTTTTTCAGTTTGCAAGGAGCAGCGTCATGTCTGTAACTCCATCTGTCGGTTTTCCAAGAATGAAATGAAATGTTTGGTTCTCCAACAGATGTTATATATCAATATCTCATAAACGAATATAAGCCATGTGGATAATAGTATCACAAGCTGTCGCAACGCTTCCGGGTTTTTAGTATAAACAGCAAAACTGGAGAATTATTCGCAAAAGTTATCCGCAACGAGTGCACATACAAGCGACTGTCATGAATCACGATAGGGATGGAGCTATTGTTGGGCTGATGCCGTACCAATATGTCCACGTTTTGGATCTGGTGAGGAATTTGATAGGTCAAGTTATTGACAGGTACCCGTCGTGACGGATGGGTCGTTGGCGAGCGATGTGGCGCAGTGGGTCAAACAAACAACCTCTGCGTTGCAAGTTTGACAATGATTTGTAAACATGATGATCTGTTTTGAATAAGGATTTTATTTCAACTGCTCTGATGTTGTATCAAGTAACCATTTTCAACCATGCACCATTACTTATTGAAAGATGTATGTAAAATAGAAAAAAATTATCGCAATGAAAAATAGTAGTAGTAATAAATTGGACAGAAAATGAAAGGAGTTATTAGCCTACTTAATATAATTTATCAGTCAATCCAATATCTGTACATACCCATATCTGATCATCTTTTATTCCATGAATTGCTACTATTATATACCTCATGTACCAATGTTACATTTATGTCTACTAAATTGAAATAAAAATATTTTTTTAAAAGTAACCATTTTTAACCATGCACAATTAGTTACCGCCGGATTGTGATCAATCAGTGTTATTAGGGGCAGAGATCACATACCGATATGGGGTCATCATGATCAATTATCAACTGTCAATAGTCGATCGGTTAGTAAACACCAGACATTCAATTTTTCCCCCGTTCGCATGCACAGCGTTTGCTCATGTAAGCAACTTTGAACATGTGTAACTATACATACATGTCTCTGTTAATTTACTATAAGGTGTGCAAATAAAGTAGGTCTATATGTTAATGGGATAAGGCACACATATTCATCAGTCTGTTTACAACTTTCAACATGAAAAGGTTGTTTTCCAAACAAAGTCGAATGAGGAGAGTGTTACCTCACAAAAATCTTCACATGAACCAATATATTTGATTTAATCTGTACACAACTTTTTGACTCTTTTAAACCCAAAGAAAACACTGTCTGCCCAGCTCTGGATGTCCGCTTAAAAGTTAGTATTGCTGTATGCAGAATATAGCATCAACTTCAGAATACAGATCTGCTGACAGTTTGTTTGGTGTTGGCAAGTTAACAGATATGATAATTAGATCATCCTCTGGCGTTGTTGAACATGACAACATAGTGCAAATTTGCACTTGTGTAATTTACGTTTGCACCTGCTTCAGACATATGGTGCAAATTTTCTCCCATTGTAAGTATACACAACTGAGTAAATGCGTTCACATGACAAGTATATTCACGTGTGTATGTTTACATATATGAGCAAATATACATCTCTATGTATAGAGCTGCATGTGAAAGGGGTATTACTTATAGTGAGTTTGGTTTTACGCCGCTTTTAGCAATATTCCAGCATTATCACGGAGGGGGACACAAGAAAATGGGCTTCACACATTGTACCCATGTCAGGAATCGAACCCGGGTCTTCGGCGTGATGAGCCACCGCTTTAACCACTAGGCTACCCGACCGCCCCTGGGTATTACTTATACCTAGTTTATTCATGTATTTGCTGAACACAGATTTAACACATTAAAGACAGTCTTGATGTATAAATATAACAGTTAGTGATTATGACGAATGCATACATGTATTGACCAGCATTATTCTCACAATTACAAATCACTATATTTATAAGTTAAATAGGGAGACTAAATGCTCATGCAACTGTCGCTATTTGCCAATAGAGCAACTATGCTTGTCGAAAGAGTTGACTAATGGGATCGGGTGGTCAGGCTTGCTGACTTGGTTGATGCATCTGTCATTGTATCCCAATTGCCAATATTGATGAGTGCGGCGTTAAACAACAACAAACAAAACTGTCACTACTACTTTCAGATACCTTGACTGAGCTCAAGGTGAGCTATATAATTGCATAAAATACACATTAAATAATCGGATATATGCAGACAAATCAAATCCTAGCGTATGAAATATGCAACAAAAACTATTAAAAGCTATTGAAATAAAAGTAATGCGTAGTTTACAACTATTAGATAAAATGATTGCGTATATTAAAATTGTTAGATAAAATGATTGTGTATCGGCCAATCCCAAAATTCCCTTACCAACAGTTACATTCAATAAAGCTTGAGAGACAAACAAACACGAATACTGATAGATTCCAATTCAAAAGCACATCATGCCTAGTCAGGGTATCTTAAACATTCACCAAAAACTAGCACCTTTCTAACAAAGCTTGGTTTGGCAAACAAAACTTGTTTCCAAGAGGGGGAACCACTAGCAGACGCAGACAGGTATACTACCATTCATTTAGTTTTGAATGACTTTCAGGGATTGTTATGAAACAGGTTAAAATACCCATATGTCAAGAAGTGGGTAAAAAAGATTTTGAATACCCCCCTAAATTATGGATACCAAATCAAATTCAAAATCCTGGGTAAAAGAGTCAAATAACCAAAAGCTTGTCTTGAGCGGATCTGCCAAACCCTCAAAGTCTGGACGATCATTTTGTAAGTCGTGGCTAACGACTTTCACTTGGTTGACATACAATGAGGATTTGCAGATTTTATTGTTTTCAGTAGCTAGTCGTATATTGAATCTTGATTGACCGCCATTTTGCTTTCTCGGACGATCGATATCCAATTTTTTTATGGTCAATAAATAAGTACAGATGAAAAAAGTATTCAAATAACTATTGCTATCAACGATATTTTTGTATTTGTGATTAAATTATCTGTCTTGTTTTTAAAAAAATCTTTAGTTTAAAAAAAAAAATTCCCGTGAGGTCACGTGATAACCAAATATGGGATAATAGTCTCGATCCAAATGTTACAACGCGTACACTTGAGCAAACTCATGAATATAACTCATGAATATTAATTAGACCGTTCACTACGTTAACAGATCGTTATTATAAAAGAAACAAACGTATGTTTTCCATGTAAATCTAAAATGATATTATTTGTTATTAATTGTCCGGTGAATTAAACAATTTAAATTATTATGAATACGTAAACTTGTAATGTGTGTGAAAAGTCGTACTAAAATACGCTATTTGAAGGGGGCGTGGTCTAAATGCAAATGTCCGATTGGGATTTTAAATTTTCCGGACCCCTGCATGATATTAACATTTAGCATTAAATTTCTAAATGGGTTTATGGGTAGCATTTATATTTCCCTGCACTAAGCATGCTAAGTACTGAGACACTAAATATTTCTAAAGTCAAAAGCCTTTGTGTTGAAGTTGAAGGGACTTACGAAAATACTTTGACTTATACGAGGTTTGATACAGCCGAAAATGATGAATAAAAAAGGAATTTGCAAGCACCAAGCTTTAGCCTTATATTTCGAGACAACAGTAAATTCGACACATCACTGTCATATCCTTCTTTCATATATAAGAGTCTAAAAATTAGCCTCTCCCGAGTAATCATCTCACTTCACGCATTCTATAAACAACCTTTAACCATGCCACTTCCTTTGGCCTATGTCACTTTCTCTTACTTTTGTCAAGCAACATGCTTATTTTCTCTCGCTATCGTTTTCGGCATTTTTATCAACTTTACTGATTTGTCACTCTATCCAATTTCAGCCTTGTCTTTATAAACTGTTTCTATTTTTGACATATATCGCTGTCATTTACATTTTGGTCTTTCATAAACTCTACTTCACATTTTTGTCTTCGCCAAAACTGTGTCTAAATTTGCCTTGTGTGCTATGTTCACTGACACATTTTACACTTTGCTGTATAATATGATACTCCACAGCTTCAATATTTCATTTATCTATGTATCACAGTAGCTGCCAACAGTGATGTGGCAATCATCCATCTTCATAGCCTGTTGTGTTGTGTATCTTTGCTTATTCTTATATAACCTTAATATTTGCTAACTTCCCAACTATGATTTTTGTGATTTTGTGTAATAGTCCAGAAAATACAGGTGAGCTACAGAGCCTTGTGCTTTTTTCTGTTCCTAATGGTTACATGACAAAACTGTTTGTCAGGTATAACCATTGGTCAGGCCAATTCCATGTTTGACATGAAAAATACATGTTGCCTTTGACCTGTGTTGCAGACAACGAACATCACACGGCTGGAGATCGGGCCACAGACCCTTGTCCTGAAGACTAATGAGCGTGTTGATGCTGGACCTCTACCTATGATAGTCATCCCTCCTGGTCACTATATCAGTGTCACAGACCCGATCAGGTGAGTCCTTCCTGGCCACGACATCAGTGTCACAGACCCCATCAGGTGAGTCCCTCCTGGTCACTATATCAGTGTCACAGAACCCATCAGGTGAGTCCTTCCTGGTCACTACATCAGTGTCACAGACCCAATCAGGTGAGTCCCTCCTGGTCACGAGATCAGTGTCACAGACCCCATCAGGTGAGTCCCTCCTGGTCACGAGATCAGTGTAACAGACCCCATCAGGTGAGTCCTTCCTGGTCACTATATCAGTGTCACAGACCCCATCAGGTGAGTCCCTTCCGGTCATGACATCAGTGTCACAGACCCAATCAGGTGAGTCCCTCCTGGTCACTATATCAATGTCACTGACCCCATCAGGTGAGTCCTTCCTGGTCACTACATCAGTGTCATAGACCCCATCAGGTGAGTCCCTCCTGGTCACTACATCAGTGTCACAGACCCCATTAGGTGAGTCCTTCCTGGTCACTACATCAGTGTCACAGACCCCATCAGGTGAGTCCCTCCTGGTCACGACATCAGTGTCACAGACCCCATCAGGTGAGTCCCTCCTGGTCACTACATCAGTGTCACAGACCCCATTAGGTGAGTCCTTCCTGGTCACTACATCAGTGTCACAGACCCCATCAGGTGAGTCCCTCCTGGTCACGACATCAGTGTCACAGACCCCATCAGGTGAGTCCCTCCTGGTCACTACATCAGTGTCACAGACCCCATTAGGTGAGTCCTTCCTGGTCACTACATCAGTGTCACAGACCCCATCAGGTGAGTCCCTCCTGGTCACTACATCAGTGTCACAGACCCCATCAAGTGAGTCCCTCCTGGTCACGACATCAGTGTCACAGACCCTATCAGGTGAGTCCCTCCTGGTCACTACATCAGTGTCACAGACCCCATCAGGTGAGTCCCTCCTGGTCACTATATCATTGTCACAGACCCCATCAGGTGAGTCCCTCCCGGTCATGACATCAGTGTCACAGACCCCATCAGGTGAGTCCCTCCTGGTCATGAAATCAGTGTCACAGACCCCATCAGGTGAGTCCCTCCTGGTCACGAGATCAGTGTAACAGACCCCATCAGGTGAGTCCCTCCTGGTCACTACATCAGTGTCACAGACCCCAACACGTGAGTCCCTCCTGGTCACTATATCAGTGTCACTGACCCCATCAGGTGAGTCCTTCCTGGTCACTATATCAGTGTCACAGACCCCATCAGGTGAGTCCCTCCTGGTCACTACATTAGTGTCACAGACCCCATCAGGTGAGTCCCTCCTGGTCACTATATCATTGTCACAGACCCCATCAGGTGAGTCCCTCCTGGTCACTATATCAGTGTCACTGACCCCATCAGGTGAGTCCTTCCTGGTCACTATATCAGTGTCACAGACCCCATCAGGTGAGTCCCTCCTGGTCACTACATCAGTGTCACAGACCCCATCAGGTGAGTCCTTCCTGGCCACTACATCAGTGTTTTTGCAACCTTTCAATGTGTATCATGTCTGAATGCAGGCAGGTACCTTTGAAGATGAGCAGGCAGCACTTACAGGTCACCTGCCCTGTCTTATTTGGTTTTTAAATATTTCAAACACTGGATATGTTGTCTCTAATATGTTTCTGTGTCTTTATGATGTTTTTGTTTCCTTTCTAGCCGCTATGAGGCAGGCAAGGCATGTGAGCTCAAAATTGGCCAAAAGGAAGTAAGGGTTCATCAGGTAAGTGTCCTAAATCAAATTAGACATTTGTCTTCAGATACCATAATGTTTTCTTCTAGACAGAGCTCAGAGTGATGTATTGGCATCCAAATGTAACTTCAATGATGGACCTCCTCGAAAAGTGATCAAGAAACGATTGCTTTTAGGAGATGTTCCGCGCTGAGTCAAATATATACTACTCAACATGTGACAGGGATATTCTGAGCATGGGACCCGAATGTGTGTGATTGGCTGCAGTAGTGTGTGACATAAACTAATCATTTCTTATGTGTATTGTTTTTTTTATGCCACAAATAGCTGCAAGATTGTTGATGTGACGTTAGGCAATATTTACTGACTCATTATTTACTGTTGGTTCATCCTTTTACTTGACTTGTTTCTTCTTAATTCTTGCATGTTGCCATGGCTATTATACAAGCATCTTTATCCTTTCATTTGACTGGATATTCTTCATCTTAATTCCAGCATTTAAGATTGTCTGGTCCGCACTTTATTATTTACAGGCCGTCATTTATTGGCTGAAGTGTGGTGTCTTCAACAAACACGTCTTGTATTTGATCAGAAATCCATCATCATGAGTCCTGCATGTGACTGTGGTGTTTAATTCTACCATCCATAATCGCATGATTCAGGACTTCCATGAGACTGCAAATGTACAATGCTTGAATACTTTGCACGATTAAAGGGAAACAACTCCTCCATGACACTTTATTACCTCCCCTGACAAATGTGGCTTCAACTTGTGAATGAAGCCCTGTGTGAGATAGTGAAAATTTATTTCTAGCAGTTTTACCATTTGGCAACCTGCAGAGTTGTCTTCACTTGAATATTGCCTTACCTTGTGGTTGACCGTGTACTTCGTCCTAACCTTGCACGGTACCTGATGTACGTCATCATAAGTCTTGCATGTTTCTGGATATACCAGTATATCAGGTATATCATCTGTGGTCTTGCTTGTGGCTATATTCCTAAACCTAAAGTGCACTCGGGTACATGACGCCATGCCTGTTTTCAGAGACAGTCCTTTTCTCCTTCTAAACTTGTTCAATGGATGCAGAACAAAAATGTACTGCATCCCGAGGGATGCACAATTATGACCATTGTACCTACGGTGCATCAAGAGCAGTTATGGGTGTCTGTTATTTCATCCGTCAATCACGACCACTGTCCACATGGTCATTGATTCCTTCCAGGCTCTGAAATCCTTGTCTACACTACACCCTTTCATTACTGTAGAGGACCCTCATTTTGCCTGCAAGGACCCTTGAAATTAGTTTTGGGGGTCCCCTGGACCCCCACTTTTGTAAGTCAAGGTAAAACCCTGCTTCACACCTTCAAGACAACATAAAGACCTTTGCCTCCTTGCAGGACCCGTTCCCCCTCTACCCAGGTGAATCCCTCACGATGGCCCCAGAGTACATGCAAAGGGGGCAGTTCCAGAAAGCAGTCCGTCCCCTCCCTGTTATAAAGGCCAACCATGCCATCCGCCTCCGTGCTCTCATTGACCTGGTGGAATTCGGGGTGAAGAGGAAGGAGGAGGAGATGTGGCAGCTGCCTGGACCACTGACATACATTCCTAGAGCTGACGTGGTGAGTAGGCTACATTCCTAAAGCTGACGTGGTGAGTAGCCTACATTCCTAGAGCTGAGAAGGCAGGTAGCCAACATTCTTTGAGCTGCTATGGTGAGTAGCCTTTATTCCTAGATCTGACGTGGAGAGTAGCCTATATTCCTAGATCTGACGTGGAGAGTAGCCTATATTCCTAGATCTGACATTGAGAGTAGCCTACATTCCTAGAGATGACGTGGTGAGTAGGCTACATTCCTAGAGCTGATGTGGAGAGTAGCCTACATTCCTAGAGATGACGTGGTGAGTAGGCTACATTCCTAGATCTGACATGGAGAGTAACCTACATTCCTAGAGCTGACGTGGTAAGTAGCCAACATTCCTAGAGCTGACGTGGTAAGTAGCCAACATTCCTAGAGCTGACGTGGTAACTAGCCAACATTCCTAGAGGTGACATGGTAAGAAGCCAACATTCCTAGAGCTGACGTGGTAAGTAGCCAACATTCTTAGAGCTGACGTGGTAAGTAGCCAACAGTCCTAGAGCTGACGTGGTAAGTAGCCAACATTCCTTGAGCTCATATGGTGAGTAGCCTATGTTCCTAGATCCAACACTCGTTGAGCTGATTTGGTGAGTAGCCAAAATTCCTACAGCTGATTTAGCCCATGTATCTAGAATGTATGTGGTGAGTAGCATTTGTGAGAAGTTTTATTTTCATAAACACGTTGTTAGCTAGTTTGTTTATTCTAAGGTTTATAGAGGCCCAGTAATTATAAGCATAAATGTCAGCTAAATTATAGATTAATTATTAGATTTAATATTTTTTCAAATGTTAGTAAGTATCAATATGTTCAATAAAAGTGATCAATAAATGTCATGATAATTATTATCACAGGAAGTTGTGAAGATTGTACAGCCTTTCATCATCAAGAATGGGGATTCCCTCAATCTGCGGGCTATTCAGGACTGTTATGATAGTGAAGGAAGGTAAGGCGGTAACCATAGAAAGTGAAGCTCTAAATATGTGCTGATTCTATTTTGAGCATGGATATTTGCTTGTTAGTGTTTCATTTCTGAAAAACTTCTGTATTTTAGTCTACGCTCAAACAGATGTCACTCTGATCTTGTGGGATCTTGTCTCTCAGTTTGAAGTTAAATGACAATTTGAAGTCAGTATGTTTGCTTTTGAGTTTGGTTTGCATTTTGAAACAATGCTTGAACACTTTGCATGATTAAAGGGAAATAACTCCTCCATGACACTTTATTACCTCCCCTGACAAATGTGGCTTCAACTTGTGAATAGAGCCCTGTGTGAGTAATGAAAATTTATTTGTATTAATAAGATGAACACAACTGTTCGATTGACGTACATATCTTGGTAAGCAGACAGTTGAATTATGAATTAATTGAATCAATCTTGCTGGAACAATCTTCCCCGAACCTAGTAATCCTCCATTATTACAGTCCGTTTGACTCCAAATGAGAACGATGAATTGCAGAACGTGCAGTGCATGCGTGCTTGCGCTGTTCCTTCCACGGTTTGTCCCCCTACGTGTCATGTACACATTTCTATACAAAATTACATGATAGTTTCTTAAAGCTCTGCACGCTAACGTCGAACCCATTGACAGAGGTGTCCATTCCCGTGCATCTGATGTCGAACCCATTCGACAGGCGAATAGCATAACGACACCCCAAAATAAAACTCGCCATATCTATTTACCAAGAAGGCTTTGCGTAACATTTAAATTACATGACACGTCAGATTTTTCCGAATATTCGTATTTCTGCAACCGAAATGATGACCTCGAAAATTAAGTTATTTTTCTGTTTAACGTTTAGATAATAAATTTACTGAAATGGTTCATAATTTACCATCGCGCTGTTATATGCAGATAAAAAAAAACGAATTTTTACTCAATTAAAATTAAGATATCGGAGATAGGATTATTGAAATCAATTTGCACAAATGTTACGATATTAAAAGGTTCCTAGCATGAAATGCAAACCACCTTCAATAAATCAATTCAGGTAAGTTAAAGAAAATTTACAAATTTTGTGTTCACTTTGGTCTCAACCTTGGTATGATTGAAAACATTGGGATATTTTTATATGGTATTGTGTAGTTTTCTATCAGGAATAAATGTGCAAAATATTTCTTCAATTGGCCCTTGTTTAATGAGGCACCGACTGTTTGAAATCAGCCACCCTCTTTAGAGCGCCTTATGCTAAAATTAATCCAGCAGGCAGGGGTAAGAAGTGTGAAAATAATTCAGCAGGCTAAAGGTTAAAGAACTTCATCTGTCATGGGTCTTAAAATAAACAAAATTCAGATTTTGTTGGGTACAGGGTATTCATGGTCAAGTACCGTATTGATGTTTCATACACTTTTCTGGATTTCGAGTTATTTTGCAATTCATCGTTCTCATTTGGAGTCAAACGGACTGTAGTCCATGATAGTCCTCATTGAATTGTAGTATTTGAGGGCAATATTTCTGAATCAGTTCTCAATGCTTCAATTTTATTACAAATTGTTGGATAAAACTGACAGAATATGTAAACATAATAAACATTTCTGTTTTGTTCAAGCAGGACTATTCTGTTTTTCTGTGGGACGAGAAGTTGGTCACATGACCGTGAAACTGACATTCATAAGCGTATTAACAACAAATTTTGAAATTCATAAGTTTTTCACAAGATTGTATTCTTGAAATGACGTAAACACTGACGGAATACTTCCACAAATAGCACGAATTAATACAGAAGTGTTGTTTCTGATCATTTAGACCTTCAATCGTGAACTCAACGTTTTAGCATCCATTGGGTAAAGTAAGAGTGTGTAACTGCATCATTGTCAACAAATATCCTCGCTACGACCCATCCTAGTGAACAATCCTTGATTGTAAAAGATTTCTGTCTGTGTCCATGTATTTGAATAGTAATAGATATTCATGACGTTTGCATCACATCTAGTTAACCAGGATAGGTACATTGTTTCAATCTATTTTTCAGCAAGCGTGTGACGGGCGAGGAGTGGCTCGTGTCTATACCAGGGGCTTATGTGCCTGGAGTGTTTGAAGAGGTAAGACATTCTTCTAGGGAACAGTGAGACACGGTCTGTTGCATGTCAGTAGTACAGGCCCAAGTACAATGTACATGAAGTGCCTTGTTGGATATTTGTTTGAAGATACGGATTCATTTTCAGTAGGGTAACCATTAGTTAACTGTTAGTTTCATAGACCTAATATAATTTGGGTTAGCAGATGTGTGTTTAGGGGTGCGGGGGGGATGAGGAGAGGGATGTGGGGTGTGTAGAAGGGGTCTCCTGTTCCCATCATGGATGTAATAATTAAAACACATACTACCGTATTCGACGTAATAAGCGCCCTGCTCTAATAAGCGCCTACGGCGATATTTGCTAATATATTGGCTTGTGAACAATCCCATTTAGCACCCCTTCCGATTGATCAATGTGCACAAGACTTTTTTATTCATGTATACTACGCACTCGTGTGTTATATGCATTCTTAATTATGGGCTATTAAATTCTGGAAAAATATATCTGTCGCATATAAACATTTCAGTCTGTCAGCATAAACCACGAAATTTATCTTTCAACTCTGTTTTTTCCACCAAAATAATATTCTAATAAGAGCCCCCTATTTCTAATTTTGAGAGCGCCCTGGGCGCTTATTACGTCAAATACGGTAATTGAAATTCTTAAGACAAGCGAACATTCATATTATGACGTTAAACACTAGATTTGTTACTCATATTATTACCACTGGTTTGCGTAGTCCAAATATAATCTGTACATATCTTATTTAATCAATTACTTCTGATCAGTGAAATAAATCAGACAAAGTTTCAGTTTAATTTATACTGTGCTTCACTGCAGGTACTTGACGTTAAATCGAAGATAACCTTGACCCATGACTCTGGCCTTCACCTTCGAGCCACCCGGACATTAAATGATGCATATGGGGACAGCAGGTAAGTTAAGTTGATTCTTACTCGTGACCCTTGAAGTCGCATTTTCTATGAATCTGTCAATTCTTTCTCATCAGACCCTGTGTGGTTCTCCGAAGAGGTCCACAGTACCCCTTGCTTGTCATAAATGCAGATGATATGACTAATGACAGGCTGCCATGATGCCACAAGGGTATAGCGACAGAAGAAAAACTTTCCCTCACTAACAGAACTCATTGCCCCTCATGAGGAATCTGGTTAGAATAGGTCCCGAGGTACCTATGCTGGTTGTAAGAGGCATCTAAATGGATTGAGTAATCAGTCTTGGTAACTTGGTTGATAGCGTGTCATCGTACCCCAACTGCGTGGATCGTTGCTCATAACATCAATCAGGGGCACAGGTGGCCCAGCCGTCTAAGGCGCAGTGATTCGCTGTGCAGAGTTGCGTCCCTTTGGCACGCCCAGAAACCTATGATTGTGGGTTCGAATCCCGGATCGCCCCGATTATGTTTCGAGGTTTGTCAGCACCATACCCGTGCTCATGGGTTTCACTGAAGTGGTAAACGTCTGAGACCTGCATCACTTCAGGCTTTCCTCCCACATTAAGCTGACACGCCGCGATATAACTGGAATACTGTTAAAAGCGGCGTTAAACCCAAATCACTCACTCACTCCCTCATAAAATCAATCACTGCAATGTCTGGTCCAGACAGGCCGCCATCACAGTGATTTTGACACAAAGATCTGTGTGTTGGTCAATGACTTGGACCCAATTAATGTAATAAGTCAATGGCAAAAGTCAATAAGTCTTAAGGTTTCAAAAAGGCGAACCATAACAACAACTCAATGCAATACCATTCATGATTGGATGAATACATGATCTGGCCAAGGAGCATCATGATAAGAAAAGCGCTTGACTAAGTCACTTTAGCTCCTGCAGCATTTCCTATGATACAGAAAGGATGATGCAAAGAGTAAATGAGTGAGTATGGGTTTACGCCACTTTTAGCAGTATTCCAGTAATATCATGGCAAGGGACACTCTTCACACATTGTACCCATTTGGGTAATCGAACCCGGGTCTTTGGCGTGACAAGCGAACGCTTTAACCTCTAGGCTATCCCACTGTCCGATGATGCAAAGACATGCTGATCAGAATTTTGATTTTGATTTATGATGTCTGTGCACTGTTTTGTTAAATCAATACTGTAAGTAGGACTATGCCTTACTATTTATTATTATAATATATGAAATTATGATCATCTGACTAACTCAGCATTTCTATTGGTCAGTGGTGAAATTACTTAGGCAAACCATCTAACAAATTAAAATTTTATCAGTCTATGATCGGTGACCATCGGCCATCTGAAACTCTGTGTCATATATCGTATTTGACGTAATAAGCACCCAGGGTGCTCTCAAAATTAGAAATAGGGGGCTCTTATTAGAATATTATTTTGAGTTGAAAGATCGTAAATTGCGTGGTTTATGCTGACAGCCTGAAATGTTTATATACGACAGATATATTTTTCCAGGATTTGATTGCCCATAATTAAGGGTGCATATAACGTACGAGTGAGTATTATAAACAAATAAATAAGTCTTGTGTACATTAATCAATTGGAAGGGGTGCTTATTGAGATTGTTCACTAGCCAATATATTAGCAAATATTGCCATGGGCACGTTTTAGAGCAGGGTGCTTATTACGTCAAATACGGAATATTTCTGAGTACGGCAGTACTCATTATTTTCCCAGTAAATGTACTAAAAACTGACATCATCATGCAAACACGGAGTGATGAGGATGTGATGCTTCTGTTGCAGGCTGGCTGGAGAGGAATGGCTTCTGACTGGAGAAGAAACTGACAGTTATTTCCCTGAAGTCGGAGTGGTAAGTTAGTCTGAGTATTGGTTCATAGATGTGTCGATGATTGATGTGTAAATGATGTCGGTGTAATTGGGATATGTAAGAGGCAACTAACAGGATCGGGTGGTCAGGCTCGCTGACTTGGTTGATGCATGTCACTGTATCCCAACTGCGTTGATCAATGCTCGTGATATCAATCACTGGATTGTCTGGACCAGACTCAATTATTTACAGACTGCCATCATATAGCTGGAATATTGCTGAGAGCGACGGTAAACAACAAACAAACAAGAAAACACAGAGCTACAGATAAGCAGCGTATTTGCGTAAAATACCCCCCAAAAATATTCAAAACCCAATTACTTTCAATTAACTTGCACACAGAAACACATGCATTAAATGAAAAACTCAAATTAAAAATCAGCACGCGTAAATACCGCATGATGCTTTTTCAGCATGAGTACATTGGAGCTAATTTCCGAAACACAATTATGAGCTAATTTACTTTCCGAGTCAAGCCTATATATTTAGAAAAGTTATATACATCTAAAACATTATTTCATATTTTTAAATCTTAAAATGTTCACTAATTTGGGGAAAAATACCAATAGAGTGATGTATAGATGAGTGAAAAAATATTGGTTACCAAATGAAAAATATAATAACCTAATTAAAATAGAAACCCTAGAGTTAAAACTCAATTACCCGGTACTCAAAAAGTCATTGGAAGCCCTGAAACAAGATGACATGTATCAACCAAGTCAGCGAGCCTGACCACACGATCCCGTTAGTCACCCCTTACGACAACCAAAGTCGCCTTTTACGACAAGCATCGTTTGCGTGAGACCTATTCTACCCCAGATCCTCACGGGTCGATGAATAGATGTGATCAGTGAAGTAGGTCTGAACAGTGATGGTAGGTGTATATGATGTAGATTGTAGATGATGTTGATGTGGGTGACGTAGGTGTAGATGTTGATATAGAAGATGTTGATGTGGGTGCAGATGATGTAGATGATGTTTTAGATAATGTAGGTGTAGATAATGTTGATATAGATGATGATGTGGGTGTAGATGATGTTGATGTAGATGATGTTAATGTGGGTGTAGACGATGTTGATATAGATGATGATGTGGGTGTAGATGATGTTGATGTGGGTGCAGATGATGTAGATGATGTTTTAGATAATGTAGGTGTAGATAATGTTGATATAGATGATGATGTGGGTGTAGATGATGTTGATATAGATGATGATGATGATGTGGGTGTAGATGATGTTGATGTAGATGATGTTAATGTGGGTGTAGACGATGTTGATATAGATGATGATGTGGGTGTAGATGATGTTGATGCGGGTGTAGATGATGTTGATATAGATGACGATGATGATGATGATGATGTGGGTGTAGATGATGTTGATGTAGATGATGTTAACGTGGGTGTAGATGATGTTGATGTAGATGATGTTAATGTGGGTGTAGATGATGTTGATGCGGGTGTAGATGATGTTGATATAGATGATGATGATGTGGGTGAAGATGATGTTGATATAGATGATGATGTGGGTGTAGATGATGTTGATATAGATGATGATGTGGGTGTAGATGATGTTGATGCGGGTGTAGATGATGTTGATATAGATGATGATGATGTGGGTGTAGATGATGCGGATGTAGATGATGTTGATATAGATGATGATGATGTGGGTGTAGATGATGTTGATGTGGGTGTGGGTGTAGATGATGTTTATTTGGGTGTAGATGATGTTTATATAGATGATGATGATGATGTGGGTGTAGATGATGTTGATGCGGATGTAGATGATGTTGATATAGATGATGATGATGTGGGTGTAGATGATGTTGATGTGGGTGTAGATGATGTTGATGTGGGTGTAGATGATGTTGATATAGATGATGATGATGATGTGGGTGTAGATGGTGTTGATGTATGTGTAGATGATGTTTATGTTGGTGATTATGTTGGTAGGTGTAAACAATGTAGGTGTAGACAATGTAGGTGCAGATGCTGTTGGTGAATGAAGGTGCAGTCAATGTTGTTGTATAGATTATGTACGTGTAGATGCTGTAGATGATGTTAATGTTGTCAGTAACTCTGAAATTCCTGCTACAGGAGGTGGTGAAACAGGTGCAGAAGACGGTGGTCAGCAAGGGTCAGTACTGTGTTGTCCTTGACCCTGTAGATGAGGACAAGAAGCCATGCCTTGGACAGCGGGTGCTGAAGAAAGGGTTGTGTACATTTTTCCTCCACCCAGGTAAACAAGAGCTTCACAAGAATATACCTACACCATGTACACCATGAACACCCTGTATGTGTTTTCAGAAGCAGGGAGATATCTAGAATTCCGAACAAGTGCCCTTGGCAGGCAAATTTGGAAAATATAGTTATATTTTTCAGAAGTGGATTTTTTAGCGTTCTTATTTTCATACAACATGAAGAATTGGGAAAATTGTATTTCAATCTGGGAATTTTTACTGTCATTTGCTGCAGACTTGCAGCCGAATATCTGCTTCTGAGCAGGTCTAGATACACCCCTGAGAAGCACAATCACAATGATCACAAGTAACTCAACTTTGGCAAATACTACTCAAAAGAAGTTAAAGAACGTTAAATATTTTCATATGACTATAGTTAATCTGTCATGCAGTCATATGCAGCAAAGTTCCCAGTTTGAATGAAAAATTTCCCAATTTCTCAGACTTTAGAACAAAGAAAAAACATTAAGAAACCAACTTTGGACAATTATCAAAATATTTTTCACAATGTGCCAACCAAAGGCAAATCCTGAATAAATCCCTGTATCATGACGAACATGCACATATGAGATAGTTAGCATACAAATCCATGATTGTTATTTGTTAACATGGTGCCTTGCTGTCGGTGTGGATATGGAAAACTTACTTCCTAATCAGTAGGTATTTGATGTAAATGCTGTAAAGAGAAGATGAAGGAAAGTGTGTGAAAGTATCAATATATTGTCTTCAATAAGGCAATATGTTTTCCTTTCGCTCCTTCTATTAAAAAGTATTGAAAATTAATAAAAATTGAAAAACGTTTGCTTTTCCAATCTAATAATTTTTTCTAAAATTTTTGAAAGCCAGTTTTGGTCCAAGTTATGACCTAAACAACATTGTCTATCCATGTGTAGGTGAGAGGCTAGAGGACGGGATACAGAACACCCATGTCTTGTCAGCTGACGAGAGCCTCGTCCTCCAGGCCAAGGGAGCCTTCACAGACAATATGTTTAAAGGTATGTACGGTCATGATATGTTTAAAGAAATGTTCATTGGTGATAATTACTCTTTACATTAAGCAAAATTCGTTATTGCCGAGTATAATAACTATGACTGACACATTATTCTAGTCACTTTACACATTACCAGAACAGCACATTGCTGCCACCCATAACAATACCATACTTACAACTATGACCCGTGAAGATCCGGGGTAGAATAGGTCTTCAGCAACCCATGCTTGCCATAAAGGGCGACTATGCTTGTCGTAAGAGGCAACTAACGTGATTGGGTGGTCTGGCTCGCTGACTTGGTTGATGCATGTCATTGATCCCAATTTCGTGAATCGATGCTCATGATATTAATCACTGGATTGTCTGGTGCAGACTTGATTATTTACAGACTGCCATGATATAGCTGGAATATTGCAGAGTGCGGCGTTAAACAACAAACCAGCCCAACCAATCAACTTACAACTGACAATCACATCGATCTGAGTCCCATGTTAACACAGATTAAGGACTTCTGGGAATGAGAGTTACCTCCCTTGCACCTCTCCTTTGCCAGTAATACTTCCAGGTTTGCACTTGCCCAGGACTAGCAGACAAGTTTCTATAAACCTTGATCCCAAATAGAACATATGAAACCACAATAAGCTTGTTAATTAGATCCTGCTCATTTGTAAAAGTAAACCTATTACTCAAGTTTTCATTGACACATTTTTTTACAACAGGAAAGCCTAAACGAAAGCCAGGTGACTTGTGGCTGATCCGAGGACCAGTCGAGTACATCCCACCCATTGAAGTGGAGATAGTGAAGAGAAGGTAGGTCTATCCCACCTATTTAAGTGAAGAGAAGGTAGATCTATCCCACCTATTGAAGTGAAGAGAAGGTAGATCTATCCCACCTATTGAAGTGAAGAGAAGGTAGATCTATCCCACCTATTTAAGTGAAGAGAAGGTAGATCTCTCCCACCCAATGAAGTGGAGAGAAGGTAGATCTCTCCCACCCAATGAACTGGAGAGGAGGTAGATCTGTCCCACCCAATGAAGTGGAGAGGAGGTAGATCTGTCCCACCCAATGAAGTGGAGAGAAGGTAGATCTATCCCACCTATTTAAGTGAAGAGAAGGTAGGTCTATCCCACCTATTTAAGTGGAAAGAAGGTAGATCTATCCCACCTATTTAAGTGAAGAGAAGGTAGATCTATCCCACCTATTGAAGTGAAGAGAAGGTAGATCTATCCCACCTATTTAAGTGAAGAGAAGGTAGATCTCTCCCACCCAATGAAGTGGAGAGAAGGTAGATCTCTCCCACCCAATGAACTGGAGAGGAGGTAGATCTGTCCCACCCAATGAAGTGGAGAGGAGGTAGATCTGTCCCACCCAATGAAGTGGAGAGAAGGTAGATCTATCCCACCTATTTAAGTGAAGAGAAGGTAGGTCTATCCCACCTATTTAAGTGGAAAGAAGGTAGATCTATCCCACCTATTTAAGTGAAGAGAAGGTAGATCTATCCCACCTCTTGAAGTGAAGAGAAGGTAGATCTATCCCACCTATTTAAGTGGAAAGAAGGTAGATCTATCCCACCTCTTGAAGTGAAGAGAAGGTAGATCTATCCCACCTATTTAAGTGGAGAGAAGGTAGGTCTATCCCACCTCTTGAAGTGAAGAGAAGGTAGATCTTTCCCACCTATTTAATTGAAGAGAAGGTAGGTCGTAGGTCTATCCCACCCATTGAAGTGGAGATTGTGAAGAGAATTTAATTCTTGCAGTTGAATAATATGAATCACAATATCACCTCTGATTTATGCATTGTGGGACATACATAAGTGTTTGAGGTTGCTCATGACATTTAATTATTTGTTCCAGAGAAACCAAACCCCTCAGCAAGAATGAGGGAATCTATGTACAGAACAGACAGACCGGGAAGGTATGCTCACAGCATTACATAGTCGAGTATATCTGGGGCAACGCTTTTGTAGTGAAGTACAAATTCTTGTACTTTGAAGGGTTGAGTCCCATCTGGTATTTGAACCCACACTCTCAGAGTGAGGCACCTAATCACCAGCACACATTATCAGCGAGGCTTCAACAGAATGGAGCTCTGACAAAGGGTAGTTTAGATCACGTACTTTGTGTACCCTTCTGACAAGTGTACATTGGCACAGCTCCCATGGCTGAAAGTTATGAATATACAATGCCTTTTAGAAAGTGGTCAAATATAGTAAATGTTATTTTTGGGATAACTCTTTCTTTATAAAATGAATATTCTTGTAAAAGTCATTGTGTATTCATAGATAGTGGTGTTAATGGTCTACATTGCAGTCAGCAAGATCTCCCGTGAATCTGGGTTGTATACTCCACAGGGAGCTGAGAATGATTGTTGAGTGCTCACTGATCCAGTGACCACAGTAATAATAGCACTTTGAGCATGCCCCTGTGTGATGTGGAAATATGCGCAATATAAATGGCCTATTATTATCCCCCGCCCCAACGAAGTTGGCAAGGAATATAGAAATAGGTTTCGTCCGTTTGTCCGTGCATGCGTGAGTGCATATTATATTCTTACTAATGTGGCACAGGACACACTATCTGAGAAGTGATATTGAAACCTGTCTGCATGCAGTTTGACCCCATTCTCTGTCAGTAATCAGGTGGTGAATGAGGCATGTAGATTTCAAAATGTCATCATTTTACACTGTGGGTAGACCCGTGAAGATCCGGGGTAGAATAGGTCTTTAGCAACCCATGCTTGCCGTAAAAGGCAACAATGCTTGTCGTAAGAGGCGACTAGCGGGATTGGGTGGTCAGGCTCACTGATTTTTTTTATGAATGTCATCGATCCCAATTGTGTGGATCGATGCTCATGTTGTCAATCACTGGATTGTCTGGTCCAGACTCGATTATTTAAAGACTGCCGTCATATAGCTGGAATATTGCTGAGTGCGGCGTTAAACAACAAACAAACAAAAACACTGTGGGTACATATGCTTCCCTGGATCACTCAAATATGAGTGAGTATGGTTTTACACTGCTTTTAGCAATATTCAAGCACTATCACAGCAGGGAACACCAGAAATGGGCTTCACACATTGTACCCACATGGGGAATGAAACACATGCCTACTGATGACGATCAAACGTAACCACGAGACCATCCCACTGCCCAGACCATAAAGAGAACCTGGTGGTGATGTTTTGAAGTAATCATTAATCAGTCAGCTTATGTTGAGGCCTGATAGAATTACCTGTTTAATTTTGTGTGTGTCCCCAGATAAGAAGTGTCATGGGACCGTGTTCATACATGCTGAACGCCCACGAGGAACTGTGGGAGAAACCATTAACTCCAGAGGTCGAGGAGATACTCAGGTACCCAACAATGGACTCTTCCATCACAATCTGTACACACTTGTTTTCAGAATATTATCATTGAAGTATTTCATCAACAGTACATTGCTGGGATTTGTCTAGCATTTCAAACTAAGTCCCTTGGGAAAAATGTGTTCAGAATTAGGATTTCTTATGTTTCAGAGGCATTTTAACATTACGTTCAATATAATAATGTACGACTGTGCCTCTTCCTCTGTTATGGCCTTGTTATGAGTAGTCATTTCTACTGACTACATTTATACAAAATAGTACAATTATGTTCCCATTTGTTAATTTTTTCCGAGTACCATATTTTCTTGAGTATAGTGCGCACCCCCCTCTAGCGGATTCAATATTTTGAAAAAAAATAATTCTTCCGATTGCTTCACACACGATTTAATTAAAACAATATTAAAAAGAATTTTGAATAAAATTGATAAAATAGGTTACAAACATAAGTCCAGATATACAAAGAACACTTTTTTATATCCAGACAGTGTAATTACATGACTAATTTTCGTACTTCAGTATGGATTTGTTGACATGGTATTTCCGGTGTTACGGGCTCGCGGTAATGTCTTTCCATGGGGGAAAAAACATCAAAACTCATGAATTCGTGTATAATGCGCACCCCCTTCTACACAGCTGTGGTTTTCTTTTTAAAAAGTGTGCACTATACTCAAGAAAATTCAGTATTGCTGCAAACTTAGGGCCAAATATTGGCCTGTGAGCAAGTGTAGATAAGTCTCTGAGTTGTCATTCAGCACATATTCCAAACAAAGTAGTCATGACACATTAATTGATCCCTGCTTTGTGCTCACGATGTCTGTCAGGAATACAGTCCCCCATGTTCTGTTATAAGAGATTAAAAGCTGAGTGGTTTTGTTTTGTTTATATCATATATTTCAGAAATAAACGAGTGGGAGCTGTTTATCATACAATAAAACACTGCAGGGAGAATATACCACGAGGGGCACCAGATTCATGGTTTATTCTCCCTGCAATGTTTTATTGACCACTAGTCATTTATTTATTATCAGATATCAACATTGGGTATGTACAGTTTCCTTAAGGGTGTAGACCACCTCCGTGGTCTAGTGGTAGAGCGTCCGCCCGGAGAGCGGAAGGTCCGGGGTTTGATCCCCGGCCGCGTCATACCAAAAGACGTTAAAAGATGGTACTTGTTGTTACCCTGTCTGGCGCTCGGCATTAAGGGGCTAAAACAAGGACTGGTCGGCTCGGAGTCAGTATACTGTGTCTGAGTTGGATATTCATGTTTAACTGAGGCATGGTATCTCAGTGAGCTAGCAGTATAAAGTCCAGACTAGAACTAGCAGCCACACAAACACACACACGTACATGCAAGTGCAATAATCTTGGACGCGACGTTAAACCCCATTTCACCTCACCTCACCTTAAGGGTGTAGATGAATGTACAAGATTAAGAAATATTTACCCGTATTTAATGTTGACTCCCTGAATAGAATACCCCCTCGGAAATGTCAGACAAGTCCAGTTTACCATAAGTTTGGTATTTCCCACATATTCTCTTAATCCTCATGTCGAATATATGTACCTTTTCTCCTCATACCGATTGTCAGATCGCTCCCACTTTTGGATGCGATCATTCGGCCACTGCGTTTTTCTGTGTAGCCAGCTACATCTATGGGTAACAACATAGCAGATACTTCCCTCTCAATAATAACGTTGTCCATAATATATGATGACATCAAGTTGCGAGTGCATATTTGAATCACCAGAAATGACGTCATGATAGAACAGTGTTTAATCGTGAAGTAGACCATGCATTGTTCTTCATTGTTCTTAGCAATTTATCGCATAGTTATCTAATATTTGGAATAAAATTGTATAATACAAGCCTTCATTATGTACAATGCCCTCCCCTTAATGTACACACTTCCACAGCTGGTAGACAACAAGCCCTCTACTATGGAGAGTTTTACGAAGTGGTGATGAGTGTATTTTCTAAAATATATTCTTTGGTATCATTTTAGGAATGGCGGTGGAATCGGAGATGGTAACATCCGAAAACTGGCGTACTATGAGCAATCCATCAACCCGAGCATTCTCAAGGTACGTTGGCATAGAACTCTGGTGTCATCTTCATCAACAAAAAACACACACGACAAAAATGTTATGATTTGTAAATTGGTCTGTAAGATGAGACTTCAGCCAAATTTATAACACTAGTTGAGGCAATTGCTGAATTGCAGGCAATGTTTTACTATCAGCCCAACTAACAGCAGATGTTGGCAGTCATCTGCAGGAACAAGAATATTAACTGTTTTTGTTCGAGGATTATTTATAAGATTTGGTGTTTTATTACTCATCGACATGCAGTCATATCTAATATCTAGATTTGACTATTGTAGATTCTGTTAGACTGATGAGGTGTCACTGAATATGAAAAATAAACAAATCAGGATGGTAGATATTGAGCTGAATGTGTTTCTACACATAACTATACATGAGGGCTTTTGTCGGTTAGAATAGCAAATTATGCTTGATGCAAGGCATCTTCCCGAGGCAAGGGAGTTAACAGACTATAAAAGTCCAGTTTCCACCCTTGCCGAACTAGCCTGGTATTATGGAGTTACATTTTGGCTGGACTAACAAGTCTATTCATAGTGCAATCAAAATCGTGCACCGAAATCGAAATCCGGTTTGTTAACTCTCGTGCAGATTTCGGTCGAGTGCAGGATTTGCAAAGCATGTGCACTGCCAACTCGTTGTCAGCAGATATTTTCCAAATCTTTTCAGGTTTTTTTTAATCAAGGTGCTCATGTTATTTGATGTATTTCGCGATGTAAGACCCATTTTATCACAATATAGATCAGATCGTCCTGACTGGGCTCCACCATTTTGTGTGAATCAAATGCAAGTGATACGAGAGGTGGAATCTGATTGTCCATAGGAGAGGCTTAGAAGGGACATAACTGGTAATAGCCACTGTTGGGGCTACGATCGAGCCCAGTTATTCCAGCCTAGTTCAGTAAGGGTGGAAACTGGACTTTTAAAGTCTGTTAACTCTCTTGCCTCGGGAAGATGGATGCAAGGCCGCTTTTGTAGTCAACCTTGGCCACTTAGTTGATTGATTGTCATCTTGGCCCAGCATTATATCAATCACTGGTTTGACTGGATTATTTACAGCTCCACATAACATAATTCCTGAAGTCTGTTATAGCCTGACCAGGGCATCTGAGGTGCTGCAATTCGCTGTGTAGAGTTGTGTCCCTTGGACACACCAGAACCCTATGATTGTGGTTTGCTGTAGCCTTACATTACAGTCCAACATCCTGCTCCACTGTCACTCATCATAATGTCTATTATTTCTTTCTCAGGGTCGAAACAAAACCAAAATAGTTACCTACCGTTGCCCTGGTAACACAGCTGTCCAGGTAGGTGGTTTATAACATGACAATTTAACTGCAGTAATATGAAAGAAGCAGGTGGTCCTTCACTTTATTTGAGTAGTATGTATAGGCAGACCTGTTTACTTAGAAAACTTTAAAAGTTGCATCCTTTTTTAACTTCATGGTGTGTTTCCTGCAACTACCTCTGCAAGTCTTGATGATATGTTAGTTCCATGATCAATTTTACCTACCATTCTGTTTCCTCAACCAATGCAGCCTTCAGAATTCACGCTTGTCAGCTAGCCCGACACTACTGAATAACTATGTAGGTAGTCCTCATTGTCTATTAGAATTTGAGAGCTATCACCAGTTCTCAATGCTTCAATTTGGGAACTCAACAAACCTGACAGAAAATACCTTTTTAAAAAATAGCTACAAAGTCTGAGGAATAGTGAATAAGGTTTACACTAGTCCTCTGGACTAGTCTTATAAGGATGAATTTCTTAGACTGCCAATGCGTGATCACACTGGTGACTTCCTGCAGGTGTACAACTACATGCAGAAGACAGCGAGGGTGGTCCTCGGCCCGGACCTCATCATCCTGGGGCCACATGAAAACTTCAACGTTCTCAGCCTCAGTGGTCAGTTGATAGTTTATGTACTGCCAGTGCATGTATTTAAGCCTGTACTAATGCCGATTTTGTAGTGCTAGCCTACTGAGATACCATGCCGTAGATTAACATGAATACACCACTCAGACACAGAAAACTGACTCTGAGCCGACCAGTCCTCGTTTTAGCCCCTTAATGCCGAGTACCAGGCAGGGTAGCAACAAGTGCCATCTTTTAACAACTTTTGGGAAAAAGCAGCCAGGGATCAAACCCCAGACCTTCCGCTTTCTGGGCAGATGCCTACCATTATCCCCAGAGGCGGACTGGAATTTTCAAACCACATGGAATGTGATGATATTACGTGGATAATCACGACTTTCTTCAGATTATTAGCGCTTTGAGGCTTTTCATGTTTATATGACACATTGAGTGAGTGAGTTAAAATTTAACGTCACATCGGCAATATTTCAGCCATATCGTGACGAGTATGACACATTGGTTTCCTTAATTGTATTTCACAATGTTTTGGTGTTTAAGTGTCACATGGTACTTTTGAATTTGAAAAAAGATGATTAATTAAAATGTAATTAAATGAGTCCTTAAATGAGTTTGCATATTTTCCATATTTAAGCTCAGGTCTTACTTTTGGATGAATTATTAGGTCCTAAACCTGTTGTTAGGCCCTGGGCTTAAATATGGTCATTTCCGGTACTCAGTATGACACTTTGTCACTCTTTGTCCTCATGTCTTATGGGGCTGTAGCCTAGTGGTTAAAGTGTTTGTTCGTCATGCTGAAGGCCTGGGTCCGATTCCCCACATGGGTACAATGTGTGAAGTCCATTTCTGGTGTCCCCCGCCATGATATTGCTTGTATATTGCTAAAAGCGACGTAAAACCATACTCACCCACTCACTCTTATGTCTTATATATAAATGCAATATCTAAAAGGTTCATAAGACTAACAATTTGTCTTAAGACAATTTTGATGTTTTGTGTGAGAACGCTCATCCCCTTCTGAAAAAGGGATGATCCTCCACTGTCTGGAGCCATGGAGCGTATGCCTAGGCTAGGTCTAGAGTATGTAACTAGTGCTCCATGGTCAAGTGGTGGCGTGTTCGCCCACAGAGAGGAAGGTCCGGGGTTTGATCCCCAGCCGCGTCATAACAAAAGCCGTTAAAAGATGGTACCCTGTCTGTCTTTTTGTTACCATGTCTGGCGCTCAGCATTAAGGGCTAAAACAAGGACTGGTCAACTCGGAGTCAGTATACTTAAATCGGCATCAGCCTGGACTAGTACAAGCAGCCACACACACACACACGTGCATGCATGTCGTTTTATAAGTGCAATAGTCTCGGACACAACGTTAAACCCAATTTCACTTCACATTCATAGACTTTAACATATTAAGTAATCATAGTGACATCTCTAAGATTGCTTTGTGCACCAAACAATCATGTATTAATGTATTGTTGATGTTAACAATGTTTGGATGTTATTGATTTTGTATGACCCTGATGTTAAAAGTATGATCCTTGTTGTCAATCAGCCGGCAAACCAAAGAAAGCCAATGCACTGAAGTCACTGTGCATGATGTTGGGACCAGACTTCATCACAGATATTCTGGAGGTGAGGGGATCTTTGATACCCCGGTAACTGTAAATATGGAATGTTTTGCACCATGAAACTATTTTTTTTTTTTTTATGTGTGTCGTTCAGAGTGATGGTTGAATGGAATTCTTCCAATGAGTGATGGTTGAATGGAAGTCTTTCCAAGAGTGATGGTTGAATGGAAGTCTTCCCACGAGTGATGGTTGAATGGAAGTCTTCCCACGGGTGATGGTTGAATGGAAGTCTTCCCACAAGTGATGGTTGAATGGAAGTCTTTCCACGAGTGATGGTTGAATGGAAGTCTTCCAATGAGTGATGGTTGAATGGAAGTCTTTCCACGAGTGGTGGTTGAATGGAAGTCTTTCCATGAGTGATGGTTGAATGGAAGTCTTCTCAAGGTGTATACATTTGTTGTAAAGATTATTCTCCTATTTATGTTTTGCTACCTGAGAACTAAGTCATCCTGATTTAGACAAAATCTCACTTTGTACATTGTGATGTTGGCGACAAAGCATTGATTGGCATTAAACTATACCACGTTACCCATTCTGATGTTTCTGTAACATGTAACATGTAACGAACAACATCTTAATTTTTTTTCCTGCAGGTTGAGACGTCAGATCATGCAAGACTTCGAATCCAAGTAGCATTTAACAATCATTTCGAGGTGATTTTTTAAACATTTTAACAACTTTTTACAATGATATATTTCTAATTATTTTTATAGATCTTTATTTATTTTTATAAAATATGTGTACATTTGACATGTTTATAGTTTGTAGAAGTTAATCATTTGTCAATGAACCGGAATGTTTGGTTTATTTTTAGTATGATAGAGATGATGAAGCAAGTTTGAAGAAAATCTTTGCTGTACCTGACTTCATCGGCTTTGCTAGTCGCCAAGTTGGTAAGTATGATGCTTGGGAAAAAATAATTCTCTCCAAAGACTGAAATATTTTCTGTGACAAAAGAATTTATTTCCATGATACCAACTTGTGTTAATTGTAATTGACTTGCAAAGGTTCTCATTCAAGCTCCCCGAGCAAGCCAATTTCATTAAAATCACCCCTATGAATATATCTGGGTTGGAATTAGTCTTCAGCAACCCATGACTTGGTTGATGTATGGCATCATATCCCAGTTGCATAGATCGATGCTCATGATGTCAATCACTAGATTGTCTGGTCCAGACTCGATGATAAAACAGACCGTTGGAATATTGTAAGTGCAGCTTTAAACAATGTGAGAAAAATAATGATTACAATCAGATCTTTTACTCCGATATGTCTGACACCATTTCCATGTGAGGTTATGTGAGGTGAAACCAGACCAAAATTGGACTTCCTGATGAAAGTGAAGGGTTCTTGACCCATTTTTGTACCACCTTGATTCAAGAATATTTTTTTGTACAAAAGAAAATCCACACAGAACACAAATATTCCGTTGATAGGAATCCGTTTTTGGTGTTGATGCCATGGCGCCCAGAAACGACAGGGTGCTGGCCATTTTCACGATACAGACATCAGATATGCTGCCTAATGCATGTCCAAATGCTTCACACACTCATGAAGAGAATGTAGAAGCCTTAACTCTGATAGGCTGATTACAAAGTTCACCTGGTGTGACCTCCTCCATCCCAAAAAAGAAACAGGCATAAATTTTGTTTGGTCAACCGTGATCAATTTGACCCCAGTGTAGAAAACCTCTGTATGAAAACAAAATCCTGCCCTACTTTCAAGTTTTCAAAATCTTTAGAGGTAAAGATTTCTTAAGTGTTGCCTAACCTAACTTATTTGTGTAGCAATCTTAATTGTAGAATGGCAATGTGGTACACAGTAGACATTGTTATTAATACCACTCACTTTAGTGGTAATGGTAAACTTTAGTAGTGATGTCGTGTATTTAAATTTTATATATATAAAAAAAATATATAAAAAAAAATTCTGTGTTCAAGAATAACGTATGAAAACACAATAGCGATAGAATTGACAATGAGGGTGCTGGATATGTCAGGTGATCAGGCCGCTGGGGTTGTGTCGCACGGGATTTTATTGGTGCGTGAACCATGATCACAGTGGTGATTGGTGATGTAAGGGATGTATTTGGGTGAGTGGTCTTTTTGAAGCTGGAAACTTTGTTCTAGGACATTTCCACACCAAGATCGAAGAATAAGAAGAAATGCATAGTGTGAGATAGGATAAGTATATAAATATACAATTTATTAGAAAATTTACAATTCTGTAGCAACCAGCAACCAGCAACCAGCAAGTTTTACCGTTTCTTCTCAACATGTGATTCCAGGAAGCCGAATCCGAGCCGCTGTCGCCCTGGTCCACTTTGATGAGTTCCACAGACACTCCCTGCAGATCATTCGAACGGCCGTGTTCGGCGTCAACCCTGCCAATAACAAGCTCAACTCTCACATCCGATTTAGTGAAAACAACTTGGTATGTGGCCATCATATTGCATCACTATGCGTTGCAGACCATTGTGAAGTCTTCAGTTACTGATGTCTCAGTCAAATGACATTCCTGATCCCTCTGCTACTGAAAGCTGTTAGCTGTACTTTTGACACTTTCGACACTAATTATTACTGTTTTCAAACTGAAAAATTTGCAAGAAATGGATAATAAATGAAATCTCACCCTCGCAGACCTTGGAGTTTCAGACTTAAATCAACTTGTGTTGGTATATTTGATATCAAAAGACACTTGCATGTCTTTAGTAATATGTGGCAGTAACAGATTTGCGTAAATTTCAATGCACATATAAACATACATCGAAAAATAAGTTTTGGGCATAAACAAGATGGATATAAGTTTACATATATGATTTTATGATGTTCAAAACAGTTTCACATTGGATTCAAACGGTATAAGATGAATCAGTTTGTTTACTTTTTTACCACCAAATGCAGAGATTTGGTATATGCACCTTGTGGACACTGTGATACTTAATCATGTACGAAAACATACAACTTTATGGATAACAATTTGATAACGGTGTTAGAATCTACATCGAAACCTCACCATATGCAATAAACCAGAAGTTGTTATCCATAAAGTTGTAAGCTTTTTTACTTACTCACCACCTTCCGGACCGCCTCCGTGGTCTAGTGGTAGAACGTCCGCCCGGAGAGCGGAAGGTCCGGGGTTCGATCCCATACAAAAAGACGTTAAAAGATTGTACTTGTTGTTACCCTGTCTGGTGCTCAGCATTAAGGGGCTACAACAAGGACTGGTCGGCTCGGAGTCAGTATACTGTGTCTGAGTGGGGTTTCCATGTTAAACTGCGGCATGGTATCTCAGTGAGCTAGCACTATAAATCGGCATCAGTCCAGACTAGTACAAGCAGCCACACAAACACACACACGTACATGCACGTCGCTATATAAGTTCCAAAATCTTGGACGCGACGTTAAACCCCATTTCACCTCACCTCACCTTTATGTAGCAAGCATAGAAACTAGGCTTTGATATAGCCTAGTGGACACGCTTGCCTCAGGAATATGGATATAAGTTGCCTGACCAATAGTATATTTTTGTGGCACTGTGAGCATTTATTTCTGTAGGCTTTTGTTGAACATGTATAATGATTCTGTGTTCTTTTATATCACCAGGTAATTACCAGTATCGATGTTCAGAGCATTGAGCCATCGGACACAAAGATGAGGGACAGCCTCAGCAAGTCCATACAGATGGCCATTGAGATCGCAACAAGGTTTGTTATACTAGATTTCTTTCAGCAACCACCTTCGTGGCCTAGTGGATAGGAAGTCTGCCTGGAGAGCAGAGGGTCAGTGGTGGCTTGATCCCTGGATGCATACCATATATCATTGTGTATTGGGCAGTTTATATTGTACCTAGAATTAGGGGGGTTTCAAGGGGGGTTGCCCTAGAACACGTAACATTAGAAATACCATGTCATCAAATCTGTACTGAAGTCAACAAATTAATCATGTAATTACACTGTCTGGTTATAAAAAGGGTTCATTGTATATCTGGACTTATGTTTGTAAACTATTTTATTTAAGATTTCATTCAATATTGTTTACATTAATTTAGGCGAAACCATGTGTGTAGAAATCAAACAACTCACCGTCACTTACGGCAACCATGGTCAGATTGCCGCTATTGAAACCTTGAAATGAACTTTAATTCACAGAGAATGGATATATATATATCATAAATGCCATTCTTTGACCCATTAAAAGTCATATTTGTTGTGGTTTGACTATTATATGTCACCATCAAATTTTGGGGAATGCAAGCGCCGGAGCCTCGATGGTGACTGATCAAATTGTTCCAAATGTAAAAAGTACCCGGCAGCAGCGATCAGCTGTACCAAAGTGCTATGCTTATGGCTATTATTATTTTAAATATACATATTAAGGTGTAACTAAAATAACACGATATTGGAATATACTATTCCTGATAAAATAATAATTTTAGAAACAGATAGATGGTATTTGTTGTTACCCTGCATGATGATCGGCATTTAGGGGGTAAAACAATGACAGGTCGGCTCGGAGTCAGTTGCTGTGTCTGAGTGGGGTATCCATGTTAAACTGTTTCATGGTATCTTGGTGAGCTAGCACAATAAAACAGGCTTTATAACTGACTAGTAGATGCAGCTATGCACATGCACATGCCTGCAAGTCCAATAATCTTGAATGCGAAGTTAACCTCATCATTTCACCTCACCTGTTTCAGCAGGTCTAAAGACTGCTGTCAGTGAAGTAGTCAATGTATCAAAATGTGTATCCGTAGAAATATCAATGTAATGTAAGCATCCTCATTGTTCATAGTTTCACTAAATTCAATTCTATGACCTTTAGATTTTCAATCCTTTAAAGTTGAACGTCATCATATACCTGAATTTTTTAATAAAAGTAGTTTTGTTCAATTATACGAAGATCAAATGGTTTCATTTGCAAACCAAGGAATCAAGGATGAATTGTGTTAACCATTAATTTCCAATGAAATTAGTCTCTTCCCTGTAGGGATTCCAGGTTAGAATAGAGCCCATGCAACCTATGCTTGTCTTAGGTGTCTTAATAGACTGGTGGTCAGTCTGGTGGTCAGTCTGGTGGTCAGTCTGAGTGACTTGGTTCGTTGTGCGGCATTATACCCCAGTGGCGTGGATCATAGCTTACAGTATTGTCATTGAAAGTCCTGTTGCCATTGCAAGCTCTTACTGTTGATGATTTTGTTTTGTAGAATATGGTATATCTTGCTGATTTTTTTACTTTGTTTATTGTTATTTTAAGAAGGTATGCAGAGGTACAGCTCTTTATATATGATTTTATGTGTTCTCAGTCATGATTGATCATTACTCCATCAACAGTTGCTTTGATAAACAAATTGTCAATCTTGAAATTTTAAACAAACCCACTTTAAAAGTCCAGTTTCCACCCTTACTGAACTAGGCTGGAATTACTGGGCTCGATCGTAGCGCCGACACTGGCTATTACCAGTTATGTCCCTTCTAAGCTTCTCCTTTGGACCAATCAGATTCCACCTCTTGTATCACTTGTGTTTGCTTCACACAAAATGGTGGCGCCCAGTCAGGACGATCTGATCAATAATGAAGATCTATATTGTGATAAAACGGGTCTTACATCGCGAAATGCATCAAATCACGTGAGCACCTTGATTAAAAACCTGAAAAGATTTAGAAAATATCTGCTGACAACAAGTTGGCGGTGCACATGCTTTGCAAATCCTGCAATCGAACGAAATCTGCACAACAGTTTACGAACCGGATTTCTGTTTCGATTGGACTATGCATAGACTCGTTAGCCCAGCCAAAGTGTAACTCCATAATACCAGCCTAGTTCGGCAAGGGTGGAAACTGGACTTTTAAAGTCAGTTAACTCTCTTACCTGGGAAAGATGTAGTGGTGTTTATCCCAAGATTGGTAACGCCCCAATGCTTGCTATGCAGGTCCGTAGAGAATGCAGCATCTCACGAGGCCGACAAGATCGAACAGGCAGCACGGGGACAACTGGAGAGACAGAAGCTGGCCAATGAGAAGGATGCAGAGAAGGAGAGGGCCAAGCTGCTGCATCTGTGTGCTATAGCTGCAGCTGTGGAGTCAACTGGTCAGGCCAAGGCTGAGGCGCAGGCACAGGCAGAGAGGATACTGATAGAGTGTCAGAGTGAGATCGAAGGTGAGCAGAGAGTCATACAAAATACATTCGGGTCTGTGTACCCCAACGTAGAAGTTTAAATCACTCATATATGTCATCAGAGACCAAATGTGTATTGATGTTCCATGTCTATCCATCATTCTCTTGGCAGCCATCTTGGAATTTTTGGTCACCATGAGGCTCTGGTGACAGAGTTTCTGATCTAAAAGTGTTAACTATACTTCAGTGAGTTAGTGTGACAAGTTATATGCATACAAGTCCTAGCACTCTGTTTTAAAGGTTCCACAGTCTAAACATACATTTAAGAAACTTGTCAACCATATTAAAATTGGTAGCCATCTTGAATTTTTTAGATTTGTCAATCGTCAAAAATGTTCAGTAGTTGTGAATGTCTTTTTAGAAACATAATAGAGCTATTTCACAATACAAAACATGCTTTTTTTCATAAAATGATTGAACCTCATCTGAAATATGAAAGATATATTGATAATTGGTGGCCATATTGGATTATGCAAACAAGACATATTTCACAAACTGTGATTCCTTGGGACTTTTAGTATGTTGTTTTGGGGACCTTGTAGAAATGTATTGCGATGAAATAAATTCATCACGATATGATGGTCGAGATTGCCTGGACTATTGAAGGAGATTGTTGCCTTAAGTCATTATATTTTCTGGTCCTGGGCGTATAGTTGTAGGTGTATTTTCTGGCCATGCCAAGGAAGAGAGGCTACTCATATTGTTAGTTAGTTGGGTTTTACTCCAATTCCAATAGCAATATTTAATCAATATCACGGAGGGACACCAGGACTGGGCTTCACTCATTGCACATCTGGGGAATCGAAACACTAGCCTTAGGGTTGACAAGCGAATGCTTTCACCACAAGGCTACCCCAAAGCTCCTAGTGTCAGTTTGTTTGTTGTTTATCCATGTTAACTCCGCACTCAGCAATATTTAGAGCCATATGACTGCGCTCTGTAAATAATTGAGTCTGGACCAGACAATCCAATGATGAGCCTTGATTTTCGCAAATGGGATACGATGACATGCATCAACCAAGTCAGCTTGCATGACCACACAATTCCATTAGTCGCCTCATTCGACAAGCATGGGTTGCTGAAGAACTATTCTAAACCAGATCTTCATGGGTATCATAATATCAGAGTAAGATTGAAGGTGCATTGGATGATACAGGATGATATTGAAACAAATTGTTAAATGTGACTTCTTGTCATGTAGTTGTTCTATGGCTGTTTCTGTTGAATCCTTGCTGGTCTGACCAGGACTAGACAAATCTAAATGTCGGTGTAGCAAGTCCAATATTGTCCATGGGAAAGATGTAGACTCTTCACCATGAGTTTCGATGGGAGAAAATTGAGGAAGTGAAAGATTGTCCAGGTGAACTTCAGAAAACCTCCAAGTAGATTGAGATGGAGTGTGAGGTGATATATTTATAGACACTTTTAAATGTCTTAAATTGGCACGAGGGATGTCACGATTCAACTAACTTCTGATATATATATTGCAATACTTTGCTTATTTTTTGTAATACTTAATTCGCAGCAATTTTGAGTGAATTTATATATTTCAAAGGGCATAAACACTATCATAAAGGCTTCTCATGTTTGAAATACCTCTCATTTCAATCAATACTTTATTTTAGGGGAAACTGGAGTGTAGGCTTAAGTACTTTCTATTACTTTGATCAAATAGAACATTCACCATTCACACAATACATTAGATGTGCACCCAAAATGTTTGAAATGATATGGGATTAAAATATGAATCTATACAGGACTGAAATATGAATCAAAAACATAAGTGTATCACGTATTGTATCGTTTGAGAATATTATTGATACATTGATGTCTTGGTGAATCATGACATCCCTAGTTGGAGCTGTGCACTTCAGCTGCAGGCCCAGACAGACACATGTCCATCATCACAGGTTCCTGCTGTGTTGGGAACCTGAAGACTCAGGTTTGATGTTTGGTAAGAAAGAATTATTACTAAAGAATCGTGAATGATAAGCCACTGTTAAAATAACTATCTAAGAGAGAACTGAAGACTCCAGCTGGAGCTGGTAGTATAGAATGGCCCTGAACTTGATCTTTATTTCAGCTGCAAAACTGAAGGCCGAGGCAGAGGGAATAGAACATCAAGCTAAACTGGAGACACAGAGCATGGTAACTATTGATGCTTGACTGTCACAGAGCATGGTAACTGTTGATGCTTGACTGTCACAGAGCATGGTATCTATTGATGCTTGACTGTCACAGAGCATGGCAACTATTGCATAGTTCTTGCCTTTCACAGAGCATGTTAACTATTGATGCTTGACTGTCACAGAGCATGGTAACTATTGATGCTTGACTATCGAAGAGCATGGTAACTGTTGATGCTTGACTGTCACAGAGCATGGTAACTATTGATGCTTGACTGTCACAGAGCATGGCAACTATTGCATAGTTCTTGCCTTTCACAGAGCATGTTAACTATTGATGCTTGACTATCACAGAGCATTGTAACTATTGATGCTTGACTGTCACAGAGCATGGTAACTGTTGATGCTTGACTGTCACAGAGCATGGTAACTATTGATGCTTGACTGTCACAGAGCATGGTTACAATTGATGCTTAACTATCACAGAGCATGGCAACTATTGATGCTTGACTGTCACAGAGCATGTTAACTATTGATGCTTGACTGTCACAGAGCATGGTAACTATTGATGCTTGACTATCACAGAGCATGGTAACTACTGATGCTTGACTGTCACAGAGCATGGTAACTATTGATGTTTGACTGTCACAGAGCATGGCAACTATTGATGCTTGACTGTCACAGAGCATTGTAACTATTGATGCTTGACTATCACAGAGCATGGTAACTATTGATGTTTGACTGTCAAAGAGCATGGCAACTATTGATGCTTGACTGTCACAGAGCATGGTAACTACTGATGCTTGACTGTCACAGAGCATGGTAACTATTGATGCTTGACTGTCACAGAGCATGGTAACTATTGATGTTTGACTGTCACAGAGCATGGTAACTACTAATGCTTGACTGTCACAGAGCATGGTAACTATTGATGCTTGACTGTCACAGTGCATGGTAACTATTGATGCTTGACTGTCACAGAGCATGGTAACTATTATGCTTGACTGTCACAGAGCATGGTAACTATTGATGCTTGACTGTCACAGAGCATTGTAACTACTGATGCCTGACTGTCACAGAGCATGGTAACTACTGATGCTTGACTATCACAGAGCATGGTAACTATTGATGCTTGACTTTCACAGAGCATGGTAACTATTGATACTTGACTGTCACAGAGCATGGTAACTACTGATGCTTGACTGTCACAGAGCATGGCAACTACTGATGCTTGACTGTCACAGAGTATGGTAACTACTGATGCTTGACTGTCACAGAGCATGGTAACTACTGATGCTTGACTGTCACAGAGCATGGTAACTATTGATGCTTGACTGTAACAGAGCATTGTAACTATTGATGTTTGACTGTCAAAGAGCATGGCAACTATTGATGCTTGACTGTCACAGAGCATGGTAACTATTGATGCTTGACTGTCACAGAGCATGGTAACTATTGATACTTGACTTTCACAGAGCATGGTAACTATTGATGCTTGACTGTCACAGAGCATGGCAACTATTGCATAGTTCTTGCCTTTCACAGAGCATGTTAACTATTGATGCTTGACTATCACAGAGCATTGTAACTATTGATGCTTGACTGTCACAGAGCATTGTAACTGTTGATGCTTGACTGTCACAGAGCATGGTAACTATTGATGCTTGACTGTCACAGAGCATGGTTACTATTGATGCTTGACTGTCACAGAGCATTGTAACTATTGATGCTTAACTATCACAGAGCATGGTAACTATTGATGCTTGACTGTCACAGAGCATGGCAACTATTGATGCTTGACTGTCACAGAGCATGGTAACTACTGATGCTTGACTGTCACAGAGCATGGTAACTATTGATGTTTGACTGTCACAGAGCATGGCAACTATTGATGCTTGACTGTCACAGAGCATTGTAACTATTGCTGCTTGACTATCACAGAGCATTGTAACTATTGATGCTTGACTGTCACAGAGCATGGTAACTACTGATGCTTGACTGTGACAGAGCATGGTAACTATTGATGCTTGACTGTCACAGAGCATGGTAACTATTGATGTTTGACTGTCACAGAGCATGGTAACTACTAATGCTTGACTGTCACAGAGCATGGTAACTATTGATGCTTGACTGTCACAGTGCATGGTAACTATTGATGCTTGACTGTCACAGAGCATGGTAACTATTATGCTTGACTGTCACAGAGCATGGTAACTATTGATGATTGACTGTCACAGAGCATTGTAACTACTGATGCCTGACTGTCACAGAGCATGGTAACTACTGATGCTTGACTATCACAGAGCATGGTAACTATTGATGCTTGACTGTCACAGAGCATGGTAACTATTGATACTTGACTGTCACAGAGCATGGTAACTACTGATGCTTGACTGTCACAGAGCATGGTAACTATTGATGCTTGACTGTCACAGAGCATGGCAACTACTGATGCTTGACTGTCACAGAGTATGGTAACTACTGATGCTTGACTGTCACAGAGCATGGTAACTACTGATGCTTGACTGTCACAGAGCATGGTAACTATTGATGCTTGACTGTCACAGAGCTTGGCAACTACTGATGCTTGACTGTCACAGAGTATAGTAACTATTGATGCTTGACTGTCACAGAACATGGTAACTATTGATGCTTGACTTTCACAGAGCATGGTAACTATTGATGCTTGACTGTCACAGAGCATGGCAACTATTGCATAGTTCTTGCCTTTCACAGAGCATGTTAACTATTGATGCTTGACTGTCACAGAGCATGGTAACTATTGATGCTTGACTGTCACAGAGCATGGTAACTATTGATCCTTGACTATCACAGAGCATGGTAATTGAATTATGGCATTTGACTATGAGAACACTCTGGACCTAAAACACTCTAGTGAACAGAAATCACTGAGACTATGCAAGCTTAAATTTCTTAATAATAAACTCCCGTGTAGACCTGGATACTTTATTGTGACTTGTTGTCATTGACAACCAAAGTGGTCAGGCTCTGTGACTAAGCTGATACCAAGTCATTATTCCCCAATGGGATGGGACTATCCTCATAATGTCAATCCCAGTTTTCTACGTGTCCAGACTTCATTAGTTACAGGCCAGTGTTGATGTGGCTGGAATATGTCTGCCTACAGCATTAAGAAACATTCATTCACACAATCTTAATATTTATATCTATAGACCTTCAGTTCTTGCAGAAAGTAAAAGTTTCCAAATTTGTACAGAATATTGTGACTTCTGTGACAGGTGAGGCGGGGCGAGATCAACTACCTGCGAGGTCGTAACAAGCTCCACCTGGACAAAAAAAGAAGAATGGCACAGATTGAGGTGAGCAGAATCCAGATACATACAGATCCAGGGTAGAATAGGTCTTCAGCAACCCATGCTTGTCATAAGAGGCAGCTATGCTTGTCGTGACAGGAGGCTAACGGAATTGGAAGGTCAGGCTCGCTGACTTGGTTGATGCATGTCATCGTCTACCTTTTGCGTAGATCAATGCTCATGACGTCAATCACTGGATTGTCTGATCCAGACTCGATTATTTACAGACTGCCGTGATATAGCTTGCATATTGCTGAGTGCTGCATTAAACAACAAAACACACAACATGCCATATCCTGTTTCAAGAGCAGCTTTGGTTTGACGACTTGTGTGTGAGTTTTCCGTGTCACATCCTACAGTCACTATACCCACCAGACTGTGTTGATGTTTCATGGGGAGTTTCATTGGGACAAACACAAAACACATGGAATTACCTCTCTCCTTCAAAGATTTAAGATAGAACTAATGGGGAAATGCAAACAGGGCCATTATTAGAAAGTGGACTGCAAGGGTTTTTTAGAATAAAAGGAAATAAGTTGCATTGCAAGTGCTGGGGTAAGCAAGAAGTATGGCTGTTTGAATCAGAACTATAGATTCATGTTCATATATCGGATGGGGGTACGAGTGGCCCAGTCGTCTAAGGCACCGCGATTCGCTGTGCAGAGTTGCGTCCCTTGGGGGCGCCAGAAACCTATGATTGTGGGTTCGAATCCTGGTTCGCTTGATTATGTTTCTAGGTTTGTCAGCGCCATACCCGCGCTCGTGGGTTTCACCGAAGTGGTAAACATCTGAGACCTGCATCACTTCTGGCTTTCCTCCCACATTAAGCTGACACGTGCGATATAACTGGAATACTGTTAAAAGTGGCGTTAAACCCAACTCACTCACTCACTGATATATCTGATATTTCTATTTTGGTGAGAAGAAAACTCAGAAGTTAAGAATGTCAGTGTTTTATTTCTTCAATCTGTAATTGAAATTCTCATCTTTAGAAAGCTTTCAGCTTCTTCAATGACATGACATCCGTGAAGTGTGCCATGTACAGGTCTCCAGTCTGGGCCCCACTTGTTTATGCCTTTGAACCCTCAAAATTATTTCTTAAAGGCCCTGAACTTGAAAATAGCTAGAGCCAGTGCAGTACTGTGTGAAAGAGATGCTGATGTGTCGTATTCCAGTCAGTCGCAGATGACCAAGGGGAGGCAACTCTTGTGTGACTTGTTTTGTCAACATGGAGCCTCAAAGAAAATGGTTCTGTATAGGAATAAAACATATTAGAGCCTACTGATAAGTCTGTACCTGTACTATTGATTGGCTATGAAGAAACCATACTATCCATTATAAGATGCTAACAAATCTTGACAATGATGACATGACTACAGTCAGACTACTGTATATTCCCAGGTGAACAAGTTCCAGGAGATGATTGAGAGTGTTGGCCAAGAGACCTGTGCAGCCATGGCCCAAGCAGGCCCAGATACCCAGGTGAGACTCTACAAGTGCTGTAGAAGTTTCTCTACAGTGTGGTAGGTCAGTAGAGGACGTAACGTGTACGCGAGGCGGCTCTCCCATCTCACATACAAGTGACCACCTGAGAGGGGTCACTCACATGCGTGACGGCCAGTCAGTGGTCCATGGATTTCTGCATGTTGCACAAAAATGTCTCTACAAGTGTTATTTGTGGTAGGTGTTTGCTGGACCCATCGGCATCCTCAGAATTGGTCTTTTTATGCCTAGCTGAGATAGATTCTGGTCACTCCCCACTCTTTCGCTGTGTCATTTTTTTATGAACTCCCAATCCCCCATCCCATTATGACTCAATGATTTGAAAAGAAAAATAGGCCACACCCATTGAACTACTCTAAGCAATCCCAATGTAGATTTATGAGCAGGGGAGCTATGGAGGAATCCCATCTTGGATGAGCTGTCTGCATATAGGTACTTTCATCTGGTACTCGGATTCATACAGCTTGCACTTCGGTTTTTTTATTCATAATTTCATGAACAGAAAAATATACCTGTTAATATTTATCTGTAGACATGTTCCTTACCTGTAACAGTTACGGGGATTCCCAGTTAGAGCCTTTGATCGACATTAACCCAATTTTGATTTCTCTCTCTCTCTCTCTCTCTCTCTCTCTCTCTCTCTCTCTCTCAACCACTCACTCAACCTCTCGCTCACTCACTCACTCACTCACTCACTCACTCACTCACATGTTGCCTTTTTCAGACTCGCTTGCTGCAGGCACTAGGGATGAAGAGTGTGTTGTTCACTGATGCCCAGAATCCCCTCAACCTATTCAACACGGCAGATGGTCTTGCATCTATGGGAGGCAAGGAGCAGACATCTGCCTGAAGTGCTCCGTCTTGTCACCCATTGGTTCTCCACCGATAGTCCTTGCTAGAACCATGGCTTGCCTGGACACAAGGACAGCTCACAAAATGTCATCAGTTTGTATTCAATTTAAGATTGTGAGCTGTTGGAGAAATATGCTGTTATTGTATGATAAGAAATAGATTAAGTTTCACAACAAGAGATAGATATTCTGGATAAAGGTTAATGAAAGGACAGGGGGTGGGGTTGGCCAAGGTGCTGCAATTCACTGTGCAGAGTTGCGTCCCTTGGGCATGCCTGAAATATATGAGCATGGGTTCTAATCCCAGTTGGCCCTGATTATGTTTCTAGGTGCATTATACCCATGCTCATGGGATTCACCAAAGTGATAAACATCTGAGCTTTGGGATTTCCTCCCGCATCAAGCTGATACGCCATGATATAACTGGAATACTGTTCACTGCGGCATTAAACCATACTCGCTCACTAATGAGTGAGTGCTGTGTAACTGCCAGAGACAACAAGAAGACCAGAATCATCCCCAGACATTTGCAGCTCGCCATCAGGTGGGTTTGGAGATACCAGAAATGGGCTTCACACATTGTACCCATGTCGGGAATCGAATACAGGACTTCGGCATGACAAGCAAACACTTTAACCACTAGGCTACCCGACCACCCATCACTAATGAAAGGACACGTCCAGTCAAAGTATAACTCCAGTATGCAATATCATCAACATTGAAGTAAAGCACTTGTGATATAAATGAGAACATTAGCATAATATGTTTGGTTCATTTGGATTTCTTTTGATGCCACAGCTTTGGGCTGTTGAAATTCCATCTTGGCCAAAAGAACCAAGACGGACAAACAAATGTTTGACTACCATTGTTATTGTTACTTGTATAGAAGATGTAAATCGTGAAATTAATGTGAGCATGTCGTTAATGTGAAAAATATGTGTCACTGTTGCTTGGATTAATAATGTGATGCACATTGGGACTGTTCCATCATAGTAGCTGCATAGGATTACCAGAAACAGTAGTCGGGGGAAGACAAAACGCATCTCTTTATGACGTGATTGGATTGACAGGTAGTTTCACCTAATGTTCAAAGGCAGGGCTGCTTGCATTGATCTCATGATGCATTTTAGACTGGGAGTCGGCACTCGCATTAATTACATGATTTTCTGTAATAAATAGCATTAAGTGCCTTTAATATATACAGAGCATGGTATGACATGTTTGCTGATGATGAGAGAGGTTGTATGTCTTAAATTTCCATTTAGAAAAAGTAATTGACACTTTAGTCTGTGATATTGCTCTGTAGTTACTTCACCATGATTACTGAGTTTTTGAGAGCTGCTTTTTGTGAGTAATTGTCATTATTTCATGTAATTGTCTCCTGAAATTAATGTGAATTAAACTAAGGTCACCAAATCATCTTAAAGTAGCACAACACATATTCCTAGGTTAGAACAACAACAAACAAATTATTCTGTAATGTTTACAGAAAGCCTCATGTAGTATCATATATATATTTATTTTTAGAGTTATGTTATATTCTCTACAATCACATTTATTGTATATAAAGAATATACCATGTAGACAACTTCAACCAATGAAATGAATGTGTTTGAAGAACCTGCAAGAGGCTATGTTGGATAAGGTATTTTACCTGATCTAACTCCAGTTATAACGAATCACAATCTTTCTTCTCACACTACTTAATGTGTACATGATTCCTATGCATTTGTAAGGCAAGTAGGAACACCTGCATGTTCTTTAGCCATAAATTCATTTCACACACAACCCTGAAATTTGAAAATCTTTGTAACTAGATCCGTGAGTGGATTTAACAAGACAGAAACTTTTGGGTCACTGCAGAAATAAAAAAATATCACTGATAGGAGGAGACAGGTTTTTTGACGACCTACATTACAGATCTTTTCAGGACCTCGAGTGGACAGTTTTGTTAAATTAATGTATTTTCTTTGAAATTTCACATTTTCCCTTTACCAGTAATGTGGACAAAACCTGGCATCAATTAACTTGGCAAGTTTTTTAAAACAACCTGGATATAGGATATGAACTTTGTGCCTTACAATATCTCAAATGTTTTGCAATTTATTCTACTTCTTTTCATTACTACATGTGGTGTGTCTTTCTATAGTAAGACTGTCAACATGACAGTAGAGCTGATTTGGTCCGTGTTACCATTGTTCCATAGACATGAGAGCTTTCTATAAAATGATTCAATCATTGGACCTAAATTGGTTGCATATCTTTCTTTGGGAAGTTGGTTTGAAAGAATGAAAGAAAGAAATTTGTGCATGATATTTATTACCGTATTAATCATATTAAGCGACCTGCTCCAATATGTATCCCCTGACCAACCTTGAGACCATTCTGTAAGTAATATTCATAAGCACCCTGTACAAAGACCAAATATACAGCCCCTATTTTCTTGTGAATATAACAGAATTTTAACAGAAAACAGCAATACAGAATGGGTATTGGTAACTATTAACATTTTTGTTTCAACATTTGAACTTGACTACCTCAGGATCTCTGAAAACAAACTGTACTTGTGTTTGGTTTTAATAAGCACCCCTCACTCCTACCCCACGTCCATTATCTTAGAACCCAGAGCACATATTACAGTGAATATGGTAATTAAAATCAGGGAAATCCTGACCATTAAGTATTGATCTACCAGGAATGTTGTGTAGTGGCAGAGGCAGTGACGTCACCTTCAAGTGAATAGAAGGTTTATTCTCTGTTCATTCCTGGTGAGCTATGTTGCTTGGGGACTGTTACAAGTATCTAGTTTCTGTTACTAGTATCTAGTCTCCCGTGGTATGAGGTCATCAGCTTGAGATCACAAATTTTGAGAACAAAGAGTTTAAATTGACGAGGCTTGAGATCTCAAGTTCTAAATCCTAAGGTATGAGAGCTCCTGGTTTGAGAAGAAAGATAAGACTGATATTCCTACATGGCTCGTGTGCCACACCTGTTGACAACCACCCCCATTGTGATAGTGTTTCGTTATCAATGTTTATTAGAGATTTATCTTTGTATCTTTTGATACTGTAGAGGACAACTATAGTATATAATATATATATATTAATTTGAGTAAAATCACTTTCTGTACTTTGTTGTTTTGTTGTTACTGTGTTTATTGGGCATGTATCTGAAATTATATCATCGACATCTCACTTGAGTGAAATAACATTTAATGCCGAAACTACTTTTAATCTGCCTCAATGGTCAGTTTTCAAAATTCATGCTAGCCCGCTAGTCTGAGACTACTAAATTGTGCGTGTGACAAGTTAAAATCCGATCATGGTAGTCCTCATTGACGAGTAGCAATTGTGGGCTATAACTGAACCAGTTCTTAATGCTTTAATTTTGCTACAATATGAAAAATTGACAGAAAATGGTAGACATAGACGTAGAACATAGTGAACATTTGTATCTTTTGCAAGCATGACTAGCTACTAACTCTGAGAAATAAGTTTGACACTAGCCCTCTCGACTAGTCTTTGAAAACATGAATTTCTGAGGCTATGAATGATACTCATTGTCAGACTATAGACATGTGAGATCAGTGAGATAATGCTAAATAAGAAATAGAGCATGGCTTTTTGTGTAAAATGTTGATCTCAGGTCTTTGCCTGTGCTGTAGACTAACATCAAGTCTCTGAAATGAACATATCTTACAGAAGAAGAAAAACAGTTGTTAAATTATCTTAATAAGAATATAATAAAAAGGAGCCAGGAAACTCTCTTCATTTGCAGTAATCTAAAAAGACTTTCAGAACATTATAGACTTGCATGGGCTGTATTGGATATATTTGTATCAGGGACTGTATAACAGACTACCTGTGCTGGTAACCTATCAGATATGTCACGTCACGTCACGTCACGTCACGTCACGAGATGAGAATGTCATTTGACATGGAAAGCCAGCTATGTAACACAAATACATCTTGACCTATAATGAAAAAAATATTCAAAAGAATCAGACCCAGTTTCCTGACTCTGACCCGCATGGTCCATGTTTCCTACCATTAATGATTTGTTTTCTAAAGATAATGCTGAGTGCCAGGTGATAAGTGTGCAAGGTTATTCTGAAACCTCGCTACAACTGTAATAAGGATGTTGATAACCATACTACCCTGACTTCAGTTCAGCCAACTAAAGTGGTGCTCAAGTCACCAACTTATCCAAGGAGCTGGAATTCTCTGTGCAGATTTGCTACCCTTAGCCATGCATGCCAGAATCCTAAGATTGTGTGTTCAAGTCCAAGTTTCATCCAGATTTTGATTTTTGATTTGTCAGCACCATATCCGCGCTGTGTGTTTCACCAACATGGTATTCATCTAAGAACTGCATGAATCAGTTTTTTCCACATTAAACCTTCAGTTATAACTTAAATACTGTTCAGGGCCCAGTGACCCATTGTGTTCAGTTAACATGTTGATGATAATAAATAGCATAATAAGTTTTCATAGACGAGGCTTGATTAAAAAAACCCAGCTCTTACATTGAACTGGTATTTCCTGGCGTTACTGAAATACTGGTCAAAGTGGGGTAAGACCCAACTCACTCAACTCACTCACTCCACCAACTATGGTGAGGTTAAATCAGAATGGCATTTAAGGTTGCGTTCAAGATTATTGCACTTACATAACTATGTTGTGTGTGAGTGTGGCTGCTGGTCTTCTTGTGCTAGCCAACTGAGAGACCATCACACACACACACACACATACACACAAACGTGCATGTCACATAGCAATTTAAGTGCAATAATCTTGGACGCGACGTCAATCCCATTTGACCGCTCCCACTTATTTTATTGACATTGAACATTAATTTCATACACAACAGTAAGTCAGTTATCTTCAAAAAGTTACTTCCAAAAAGTGTTTGTGCGGTTTTACGCTGCTATCTGCAATATGCCAGCTACATCACACCGGTTGTAACTATTCAGGACCACACATACCATGCAGTGGCTGATTGTAAGAGTAACGTCCCTTGGGGAGTACGATGACATGCACAAAACCAAGCCACAGAGCAGACCAACCGATCCATTTAGTGGACAGCAAGCATACATTTCTAGGGTCCAGGGCCCACTTGCAACTATTGTAAGCCTATGGTAAAGCATTGGAGTTACGATCATCTTAGCGCTAAGATTGCTTTGTGCAAGTGGGCCCTGTCTAACCGGGGCTGAGTCGGCTACAGCGAATAGTCAGATGGAAGAACCCAATTTTGATACTCCGAGAGTTTCAATCCACGTTTTCGCAACATTCTAAGAGTGAGGGTCCTCCGTTATTTGTCTGTGGACCCGACAGTTCTTAACTTAAAGATGCTAATTTAAACATTGACCTTGGTTGCTGTGTCATTCAACAAATTATTTCACTGTACACTCCTCGCAAAGGAAGTGGAAGTGTTAAATTCTTTTATGGTTCACTTTTAACGGTTTTCTTAAAAGGTGATGCAACTGAAACGTAACATCTAAAAGTCAGTTTTGAAGATTATGTTTATTTGTATCTTTCTACCCTATAAGAAAAAAGTGTATTTGTAAATACATCAGAAATGACAGTGCAGTAAACATATTCATACATATAATGAACGCTCAAGAAACACAGGCAGTAAATGATCGCTGTTGTCATCTATTTAGTGTGCAAAAAAATAGAAAACTGTTCAATACCACTTAATATACCTAGACTGCGGTGTACACACTGTTTAACGCCTTCCCGGGGCAAGCGTGTCCTCCAGTCTATATCAAAGCCTTGTGTCAACGACGTGGAGACACGTCTTTGATAAATAGGCTAGTAGACGTTCTTGCCTCGGGAAGATGACTGTGTAAATCCCCGATGAAGTCAATTCTTATAAATACATAAGTCAACAATACATAAGTCAACAATACATGTCTCACACACACACACACACACACACACACACACACACACACACACACACACACACACACACAAACACAAACACAAGGATATGAAATCAGTGACATTTTTCAGCGCAATGATGCTTTTGTAGCCTGGAAGTAAGTGTGGCCCAAATTATTTTCGGTTTAAGGAAACAAAATTGCCAAACAAATGCCACAGATTCACTTGCAGTTTATTTATTTAAAGGGAATAAAAGGGAAATATACATGCAACTACCTGAGGCGGTGCTCTTTATTGTTCAAGTTTAAAGAGTAAATTGAATGAAAGAATGAATTATCAGTTCCACAGTCCCAGAAAAGGAAGGGAGATAATAACGTTACACAATGAAAGAATTAGTCAAATTGGAGTTGCTTCCCCTACTACGAACCCGTGCTGTGTAGCATTACGCGCGCTTCATTCACTGTGCGCGATGCGAGGTGTCAGATTGGCGGGGCTAACGCCAGGGCATCGATCCTTTTTCGCATGTGAAATATATGACTATTTGCATTTTCGCTTTTGTTTATGTCCAACTTAATTGTTACTGAAAGGGTAACCCATATCTGGCAGATCATTGAACATGGGATGCTGTGGTCACAATGGGTGTTGGGAATGGATGCATAGACACGTGGATATCTGGCCGGAAGTAACGACTGAAACCATCTATATATATGAATATGTACCATGACCGGAGTACAAACCGCCTTGATATACCTGTAATATCAGCTGATTACGAACCGCTTTGTATGTGTAAAATGACCGGATAACAAGCCGCTTTGATATACCTGTAATATTACCTGATTACAAACCGTCCTGTTAGATGTGTAGCATCACATGATTAGAAGCCGCTTTGATACTGGTATATATGTAATGTTGGAGCTTGGAAAACGTTACTAATTGCCTTGGAGAAAACGACTTCGAGAACCATGCGAAGCCTATGCCATTTGCACTGTGCTGAACACCACAACACAATGTCAAGCAACGTCGGTCGCGGGGAGTAGTTGAGGGGTGACCGCGCTCGATGGCATGATCCTTGAGAGTTTCTAGGGCTTCGGTCCTCCTCAGGCAAGTGACTTTGTTCAAAACATGTCTCTGTTTACCCTGCAGCGAATGGGTACCCGGCAGGATGAGATGGGATGTGACGCGCCACACAGGCAGCTTGGGTTGTTTCCATAACAGGAAGCTGAGAAAGAAAATCGAGGATTTGGTCTCCGATCAAGTGCATACTGATCCATTGGAAGGCAGCGCTATGAGGATTATTTAGATTGTGGATTTTGTGCGTTATAAGTATGCACATTTGTGTTATTAGCTACGACCACACACTACAGATACGACTATACACACCGCAGACACGACTTAATACACTACATGCTCGACTATATAAACCACAGATACGACTATCTACCAAGGCCACGACTATATACACTAAAGATACGACTATCTACCACAGGCAAGACTATATACACTACAGATACGACTATCTACCAAAGCCAAGACTATATACACTACAGATACGACCATATACACTACAGATACGACTATCTACCACGGCCACGAATATATACACTACAGATACGACTATCTACTACAGCCACGCCCATATACACAACAGATACGACTATCTACCACAGCCACGAATATATACACTACAGATACGACTATCTAACACAGCCACGACTATATACACTACAGATACGACTATCTACCACAGCCACGAATATATACACTACAGATACGACTATCTACCACAGCCACGACTATATACACTACAGATACGACTATCTACCACAGCCACGACTATATACACTACAGATGCGACTATCTACCACAGCCACGACTATATACACTACAGATACGACTATCTACCAAAGCCAAGACTATATACACTAAAGATACGACCACACACTGCAGATACGACTATCTACCACAGCCACGACCATATACACAACAGATACGAGTATCTACCGCAGCCACGACTATATACACTACAGATACGACTATCTACCAAAGCCACGACTATATACACTACAGATACGACTATCTACCACAGCCACGACTATATACACTACAGATACGACTATCTACCACAGCCACGACTATATACACTACAGATACGACTATCTACCACAGCCACTACTATATACACTACAGATACGACTATACACACCGCAGACACGACTTAATACACTACATGTACGACTATATATA